AGGCAAAAGCGAAAGTTGCGCCAAGCGAAGCGTGGCGAACGCTCAAAATTTCTGTTGACCGAAGCGGTTTTTGTGGCTCAATTGAATCGGAGATTTGTTTGCATTTGCCTTTACCTCGGCCCACGGTCTGTCCCAGCGCTTTGTTCCGAGGGGGCACGCGCTCTTTGTTAATTGCTTCCGCTTCTTCATTTACGTCGGCGAACAGCTTCTTCTCTGCCTCGCTTGCCATCCACCCTTGCCAGTCTGGCACATAAATAATGCCCAGCACTTAGTCTAGTCTGGAATCTGTATATCTCTTAATTGCTGTTGAAGGCCAAGACAAGAGTTTAGCCTGAGCCAAAGCTGCGAAACTCCTTTTACAATGCTTGACTTTCACTTGAAGTTTTGTTCAACTTATTTAAATCCTTTTGCGGAAGGGACTTGTGGGTCAATTCTGTCTTGGATTTTCTGTAAGCAATGGAAAGTGGGACCTGCTTACCTTCAAACGTCCATTGACAGCTGTGATAGAACACTTTAGGAACCCTCGGAAAAATAGAGTCTTCTTTTGTGGTTTCATCAACTTGTCTTAATTCTTGCACCTATCGAAAAGTAATTTTTCTCTGCTGATTAATCGATTAATTGAGCCAGATAATATCACACTGAGCGCCACAATTTAACTATCGATAACAAAAGATATCGATAAGATAACAATACTAAAACGTTAGAGTAAAGTGAAAATGGAATTACGAGCAGCTCGACTTAGTTACGATTTGGGAATCTTTGCATAAATTACTTCAGCGGCACTTGGCATCGCTGCTACGCCCGACCTCTTCTGCTGTCCTTCCTTCCGCTCGGACTTCGGCACGTTTCTGCTTTGATTCTTTTTGCTGATTATCGCCAATCGACAGTCGCAACCCTTGGCCACTTTGTCTAACTCTTGCCCATTCCCTTTTGTTGTTGTTGTTCTGCTTGCCTGCGGTGGGTGGCGGGGGGTGGGGGGCTGGTGGGCTTGGGCGGGCGCAGGGGATTTTGTGTCTGTGCGCTGTCTCGTCGCCTGTCGATTCGCATTGCGTTTGAGCTGGGTCGGCAGCGGCTTTGCCTTTGCCTCTATTTTTGCGTTTGCTTTTGCTTCTTGTCCAACTTTCGTTTGGGGCTTTTCATTTCGTTTACTCCGGAAGTCGCTAAACGCTGCTTTCCTTACATCTCTCACTCCGCCACTCTCGTTGCCTGTCCAACTTTTACCTGGATGCGTGTGATTTATGCGTTGTCTGATTTGATTCGAATTGATTTTGCTCTGCTCATGAGTTGGAAAATTCTCAGACAGATTTACTGCATACTTATTGAGGGGCATTTCTCTCCCCCCTGTCGACTAATTGGCAACTTCATTTCGTTTTAGTTTCGATTTCATTTTCATTTTCCATTTTGCAGTTTCCTTTTCTGTTTTCGCTCTGTGATTTCTTTGGCGCCCGCAATAAAACTTTAAACCAAAGTTGAAAGCCGCAAATGCTCGTAATAGCCGCAAAGTATGCAATAACAAAAAACAGCAAAACAACAGCAACAGCATTGTTGGTCATAAACTTGCGCACAAAGTAAACGTCGCCTGGCCACACTGGCTGCACCACCCCACCACCCAACTGCCAACTCCCACTGCCCTCCCCACAGCATCTTCACCAGACAAAGTTCTTTTCACTTCAAGTTTGCATGCCGCACAGCAAAAGTACACAAAACTTACAGGGTATACAACAAGTAGTGAGCTTTTACATTTTCAATAAGCAGAGTCTTAGAGTCGCAAATATCTTTAGCAACTATGCTAAACATACTCTTCTCAAGCTTAACTACAACTGCTTTGAACAGGTATCTGACGTGGGGTACATCATATCATTTAAATGGCCTCATCTGCAGTGCGAAGCTTTTCCAGTTTAAAGCTGCCCTAAGGCTAAGGACTTGATGTTGCCTTCAGCTTAAAAGCGAGGCATGTCGTCACATGTTTCCTGAGAGTCTATTCACTTTTAACATATTTTATTGTCTTTTAATATAAGAGCGTATTCCCTTAAACATTCCATCTGCTAGGTGTTATCGCAAAATGAAACAACTGCTGATATATAGCCTTAAGAAATCATCAGCAGGCCTTAAAGAGAGCTTGCAAAGTGCTTGCAGGGTATGTCTTAGTCTGGCACTTCTCAGACTCAATTTTTTTAGCTTAAGCTTAAATCTCAATTCCAGCCATCTTGGTCCGCGACGACAGTTTTTTTTCGAGCTCTTTTGGGTGCGTTGCAAGAACTTGTAGCATACGTTGTGCCATGCCCCCAAGCCTGCCCAAGTCTACTGAAAGGGGGAGCTAAGAAAAGCAAGTTTTCAAAGGAAAAAAACATAGGTCTCAGACGAAAGTAAAAACAGCGTTTCGACAGTCCGCAGTCAAAACTTTTTTGATTATCTTAATTGCGATTACGGGACACCGAGCTGACTGCCCGGCACAGCAGCCAGCAGCCAGCAGCCAGCAGCCAGCGTAAGCTCCCCAAGCGCCACATGCGTATGTTACCCCAGCAGACAGTCGTAGAGTTAGATAAATAGATGGAGTAGCTGGGATTGATAGCAAATATAGAGCTGGATTGGGTCACTGGCTTGGAAACCCCGCTCAAGCATAGACCAAATTAGGCAGACAGCTCTAGACGTCCTCCGCCCCGACCAGGCCAAAATTAACAAGATTGACCTCCTTCCATCCTTTTCAAGGAGTAAGAAAGCGCGCGAGAGAGAGAGAAGCAATGAAAGAAATTGGGCTATCAAAAAGCTGCACCAGAGTTTGACCAACTTCTGCGATGGGGCTGGTACCCTGTAAAGAGAAAATGAGCTGAGGACATGTTGTGCTGCCTAAAAAGTTTTAAGAGTTTTTCTTAGTTCAAATACCCTGTAAATAAATTGAATACAAAAATCTTAAAGAAAAACTAAGCTAAGTTAACTTAGCCGTAATTACTATAAGCTATATACCCTGTAAACATGCCCTGTAAAAACCCCTTGAGTTGGCAACAATGGCGAGCATCTAAGAGTCTAGCTCGACCAGCACAGTAAAGTATATACCCTGTGAGCTCTACTATTTTAGCCATAGCTACTTTATTGTTTATAATTACAGGGTAACCCTTAGTCACTCAAATCCTTGCAGCTGCACTCAAGTATTTTGCGACTTATAGACTCTGTTGTGCATTTGCTTGTCGGCTTCCGTTGGACCGTTGGGCCGTTGGGCCGTTGGTGTCTGGGGGGCCAGAAGTTTGTCCGAAAGTTTTGTTGTCTTCGATTGACGAACGACGTCCACTTGCCCCGCATACCCCGCGTGGCTAACTTTAATGCCAGCACCCCCTCTGTGCAGTAGGCAATACAATTGGAAAATAATCATAGTTTGCCGAAAGATTCTGATTATGTTGGGGACTGCAAACAGCCGCCTTGGGGGCAACCGTTGCAGCTAATCTAGTTACAATGTGCGAAAAGAAAAGCCCTATAAAAAAATATATATATGTATATATAAATATATGCCTTGGCTCTGGCTGGGCTCTTTAATTGTGGGCCATAAAAACATATAATGGGCCTTTATTGATTTTCCAGCTGTGCTCGCCTAACGATTCAGCTATAAAAATCTGCCTCTTTATTGACTGCAGAGATTCGAGTATAATTTATTTTGATAACTCACATCAAATTAATAGAAACTCTTATTTTGTTTTAATGTGCGCTGGCTGGAGCTGGAGCTGGAGCTCTCTCTCTCTCTCTTGAGGTAGAGTCTTTACTGTTTGTTTAGGACACTCTCTCTAGCAGCTGAGCCATATATCAAATAGGCTACGCTTATCGATAACTACATTGCAGCAACTGTTTAAGTTATCGATCACATGAGACTGTTCACACACTCAGTCAGTTTTGCCAGCTTCAAATTGAGTAAAAGTTGACTTTAATGAAACTTCAGTCACACATTTAGAGACTGAGATGAATAAAACAAGAGCAAGAACAGGCAGCTTCGTTCAGCATTCGCACAGACTCTACAGATTGAAATGTGTCAGCTCGAATTGGCTTTTACACTTGAAGCACTTTCAAGTCACACATAACGGCATAGCTGTAGCTTCAATAAAAAAGCAACTTTATAATTATATTTATATATCTCAAATAGTTTTTACTTAATATTAAACTTTTTCTCTGCCGTTCTTATCTGGTCACTCGGAAAGGAAATCCGACAAGGAAGTCGTAGCTCTCTGGTGACTTAGCTCTTGTTAATAGCACACAGCATAATCGATTACCGATGACAGTTGCAGCGTTGCCGTATTAAGTGCATTCGCGAGTCGCTGCTCATTTGCCATTTGCCATTTGCCATTTGCCACTTGCCATTTCCCCTATGCCAGTTGCGCTTTTGTTTTTCGCTTTGCTTGTTGCTTTTGGCAGCTCTGATGATGCGAGTACTTTTTGTCATTATCTGTCCTAACGACAGGGTAAACCACTTTGCCTCACTGCAAAATGGCTTGGTGCCACTGCGCTTGGGGGTGCTGGGGAGGGTGGCGGTGGGGTGGATGGGCTATGAATTTCTCTTACTTTTATGCAAATAATGGGGACAATGTGTCATTGCCGCCGCTGACAACTTTGATGAAGCGACGCGAGTGACAGAACCGATGCGGATGATTCTTTAGGTTGGGGGCAGGGATGTGGTGTTGGAGTCTGTGGTGTGATGTATCTGGCCCAGGCTATGCTCAGAGGCTGCTCCCTGACATAAAATGTGTAAAATATTGGCTGTCTACCAAAAACGAGTGGATGGAGCTCAACGAAACCTGGGAATTCAATTTATATGCAAATGTCATGCAGGCGACAAGACAAATATCAAATAGTAACCCATCCCATCCCAACGCACCGCCTAGCCAACCCGCCGTACATCTAAGTATTTTCATAAAATTTATTAAAAAAATATAGAAAATATATGTAATTATGCAACATGTGAGACTATGTACAGATCCGTCTCCCACTCTCCTTCTCTCCTTCTCTCTTTGTCGCCCTCTCCGTCTCTCTGGCTGTCTGTCTATGTGAAGTAACGTATGCCCTCTTCGTCGTCGTCGCGCACATCGTATGCCGTGGGCACATAGCTGTAGGACTTCTCTTCCTCCGGACAGTTGCAGGTCTTTTTGGGCTTCTTCACTACCACCACCTCCTGCTGCTCTTCCTCCTCCTCCTCCGCCTCTTCTTGGTACTTCTCCTCGGACTCGGCCTTATAGCTGGCCTTGGTGGTGTACTCGTAGTACTGATTATCGCACTCGGTGGTTGGCTTCGCTATCTTCTTCTGCTTCTTATTGAGCTTCTTGTCGAGCTTCTCCTCCAGCTTCTCCACGAGTTTCTCCTTCTTCTCCTGCTCCTTTTCCTTGATGGCCTCGAACAGATCCAGCTGCTTGAGTTTCTTGTCTTCGAACCACTCCTTGATCTTCTCCCACTCGTCCGCCTTCTTCTCCTCTTTGGCGGCGAACAGATTGAGAAAATCTAATTTTTTGAGTGCCTCCTTTTGCTGCTTCTCATCCAGCTTCTCGCTCAGGTCCTCCAGCTTGGGCAGCTTCAACAGCCAGGCGTGCGACAGCTGCAGAGCTACTAAAGCGAAAAGTAGAACCCACTGAGAAACCCACCGAAAAGCACATTCAACTATCACCTACCCATGACAGCGATCAAGAGCAGCGCCAATTGTTGCCTCAGTGTGTTAGCCATGTTGTTGCTTGGATCAAATTGCTAACGCTTGCACTGCAGCCAGCTGCTTTTAAGGCCAGCACAAAACCCGAACAACTGCATCAAAGTCGAGGCTAAGCACGTGCTGCACTCCAGCTGATAAGCACGTGTGCATTTATTTTGCTTATGCGTCTTCTGGCTGTCGTTGTCAGCGTCCAATCACTGCGCCATGTGGCCACTCGGCTTATTGATAACTTAAACTCAGCTGCTCAGCTGCTCAGCTCACTCCTGCCACGCCCCCTCGCACATACTGCAACCCTGCTGTGTGTGTTGGCTGTCAGCTGTGATTAGTCTGCGGCATCAAAATGTATTTTCCATGTATCTAGCAATCATTTTTTGCGAGCTAAACTTTTAATGAATGAGTGGGGAGCGGTGTGGGCGGTAAGGTCCAGGGGGCGGGGCGGTGTGAGGCTAGGGGTAAACTTTAATTGAATGCGTTAGCTAGCCACGCCTCGGGGGGAGCTGCCGCCCGCTAATTGACTTGGCTTCAGCAGTCAACGCTGGTGGCGGGCTCTAGAGTCGGGGGCGTGGCAGCTGTGGGCAGGGACGGGTCAGCTAGTGAGCGTTGAAAGTGGAAGTTAAATTGTATTTGTTTAGTGCGTCGGGCATCTGAAGGCGTGGCAAACGTGCGCCGGCTGCTGCTGCTTGCAACTTCAACTTCAAGCAAATAGATGCGCGTGTGTGCGTGTGTGTGTGTGTGTGTGTGTGTGCTGGTCGGCATATAATGTATACACACGCACACATGTTTGTTGTTGCCTTGTTTGGTATGGCTATTTGTGCTGCGCAAACAATTTGCCAAATTAATTGCACACCAAATGTTCCCTGTGTGTGCGCCGTGTGTGTGTGTGTGCGTGTTGTGTGTGTATAAGATCTTGTTATTTCTGTCTAAATATAACACTGCATATCGAATGTGCATGGCAAATAATGCAAACTGAGCATTTTTTGATAGAGTTCGTCTATGCCATGGACATTTTCATACAACTCAAAAGCAAAAGCAAAATTTTGAGTATGCATGCAGAGTGAGAGGGAGGGAGAGGGAGAGGGAGAGGGATAGAGACCGCGATGCTGTTTTAATTTCTCTAAGATTCGCTGCGATTTATTTCCATTCTCCTTATTTTGTCTATTGTTCTCATAAGCTTAGCACTCAATTGTCTAAAGTTTTAATTGAAATGCGTGTGAGAGACAAAAGACAGCTTGGCCAATCACAAAAGTATATAAGTATATAAAGTATATATACTAAATGCAGTATTAATGAGGCAGCAAATCTAGCACAGTTCGCTTGAACTGTTTGTCTGTCTATCCGTCTGAATGTATTTCTGTCCTTCCGTCTGTTTGCCCTTCCGTCTGTTTGCCCTTCCGTCCCTCCTCCTCCTATCTGCCCAGTCGCTTGAACCGTCTGTCCGTTCTTACACAGGTTAGTCTGTCTGTACGTCCTTTCGTCCGTCTGTCTGTCCGTACTTCCATTGGTTCATCTGCCTGTACGTCCTTTCGTCTGTCTGTCTGTCCGTGCTTCCATTGGTTCATCTGCCTGTACGTCCTTTCGTCTGTCTGTTTGTCTGTCTGTCTGTCCCTTCTTCCATCCGTCTGTCATCGATTCCATCCGAATGTCTGCCCGTCTTTATCTCTGTCCGTCTGTATGCACGCATCAATCTTGGAGCTTAAAAGAGCTAAAAACTTCTTCTAATCTCAAGTTTATAGGAACTCGACTCGCCTCACCTTCTACAGCCGATGCTTCAAGACTCTCTAGTTTGCTATTCATATTCATGAGTCACATTGATTGAATCTTAACTTCCAAGCTTCTCTCTGATGTTTCATATAATTTCTCAAGAAGTGAGTTCAAGTCTTCGCAGGGTATCTGCTAGTCGTGCATGCCCAGTTAGTAGCATGCCCGTGTTCGCAGCTTGTCAATGAGCTGTTTTCAGTTATTGCTGTTCGGCATTTTAACAATTTTTGCCGATAATACGAAAGAATTTGCAAAGCCAACGAAAACTGATAAATTTATGTATTTATATATTGCTTAGGGCTTTATTAAATATATCTTAACGATTCATAATTCTATTTGTGCTCAGCTCAATGAACTTATTGATCAATGCGCTGATTCTCGATGTTGCCCAGGCGCAATGGCAGCTCCGGCAGCGGCTCCAGCAATATGGGATCTTCAAAGATGTTGCTGGTATTTTCATTATCATCGTTGCCATCGTCAGCATCGTCACCGTCATTGTCATCAGGCGCTGCTGTCGTTGTTGTTGTCGATGTTGTTGTTGTTGTGCTGCGCTTGCGCAGCCTTCGGCCTTTGCGTCCCTTTGATCCCTTACGTCCCAAGCGCTCCTTCTTGAGCCTGCGCAGCTCCCTGGCCATGTCCAGGCTAGCGAGCTGGCCGTAAACTGTTGGATAAGGAGCGATTGGAAAGGGCTGCAAAGTTGTTGATGTGACTGCGGCTGTTGCTGCTGTTGTTGTGGTAATTGCTATGCTGCTATTAGCTGCTGCTGTTGTAGTCGATGTTGTTGTCGGCAGCTCTGTTGTGGCATTTGCAGCAACTGTTGTTGGCGGTGTGCTAGATGTTGCTGTAGTGCTTGTGGTGTCTGTTGCTGCTGTTGTGCTAGATGTTGCTGTTGTGCTTGTGGTGTCTGTTGCTGCTGTTGTGCTAGATGTTGCTGTCGATGTTGCCTCTGTGCTTGTCGACGCTGCTGTTGTTGTTGATGTTGCTGCTACAGTTGAGCTGCTTGAGTCAGGTATTGCTGTCGTGCTGCTCGTTGAGTCTGCTGCTGTTGTTGTTGGCTCTGCTGCTGCTGTAGTCGATGATGTTGCTGCCGCTACCGTCGATGTATCTGTGGCTGCTGTTGTTGTTGAGCTTGTTGCTGGCGTTGTTGCTGTTGTTGTTGATTCTGATGTTGCTGCCTCAGTGGTTGTTATTGTTGCTGCCGTTGTCGTTGTCGTTGTCGTTGCTGTTGTGTTATCAGTCGGCCCGTCGACAGCAGCAGCTGCAATTATCTCGCTTATATTGATTGTTATCGTTTCATTGAGCCGCGTCTCGTTTAGCGTCTGCAACGTGTTGTTCGAACTGACAATTGTTGCTACAAACGTCGAGTTCTGAGCCGCGCACAGCTGACAGCAGCTGGCTGGAAATGCAAATGGCGAATGCGAAAATGTCTGTTAGTTTTTGTGCTGGAAAATCAATTAGTAACTCGACCCGACTAGGCGCAACCACAGATGAAGCCACAGCCATGCGTACGGCGCACTAATTACCTAATATTGCTGTCACAATGAGAGCAATTAAATGTCGACGTGACGTCAAAATTGGCAGCAACATTGTGTAATTGAATGTTGTTGCTGTTGGTGTTGCTGCTGTCATTCCAGGCAATCCTTAATTGGCCTCGGGGAGCTTTGATGTTGTCGCTGTTGCTCTATAAATTTGGTTAATTGAACTGATTTGCCAAGCGCTCATCAGATGCAGTTTTATATCGATGCCAACACACACGTCGCACGGAAACGTGTGGCCACTACGTGAGCTTCTTTATTTACTTATCATGTCTACCAGATAATAATCACACGCACAACATCAGCAGCAGCATCAGCAGCAGCAGCAGCAGCAGCAGCAGCAGCAGCAGCAGCAGCGACAATTGCTGACGTCTTTTGCCGATGGTTTCTTTGATTCCGGAAACATCACGACAGCAACCACGTGTTGAGCCAACACACAGCCAGCGCTGACCACCGGAAGCCAAGCAGACCAATTGCCTTCGCTTCATCTTCTTCTTCTGCTGCACTTTTCAATACTCGTTCACCATGTAAAAAGTGGGCATATTGGCTTAGTTTCAGTATCTAGAGTAGTTTATTGATTGATCCAGTTAAGGATATATATATATATAGACAAGAGCCAAGTCTGAAAATGATATCTCCTATATGACTTCTTCTGACAAACAATTCTAGCTGAAGATAGATATGATATAGATATGATATGCATATGATCTCTCTATATAAAGCATCTTAATTGGATTGTAACGAGTATCGTTTTCGTTTTCTATCAACCTCAGTGTCAGTGGTTGGCTCAGGTGTTGGCCACCTGGCACGTAAACTTGGCCAGCAGCTGACAGCTGGCAGTTAGCTTGGGGCTGCAATCATTTGAAAATGCAAACGAAGATATTAGTTATACAAAGTTGTTTCTAAGCTTAAGCGAAGCAAATCGTTTAGTTCAGTACCTCAGCCTGAAGATTTGTGTAAGCTTAAACAGAACAAGTCTTTGTGCCTGTTCACTTTCAAGCCGACCTCATATAGCGCTTCGTATGCATTACAACGTTTTTTTGCTGACGCGTTTCATATAATTGTTAAATAAACAAACATGTGATAAGCAGCGCTGCGGTAAATGACGTTTACATACCCTGTGAAGCAGGCGCAAGAGGATTACTTATAGAAAAAGAAGTTTTAAAAATATATTTAGAATAATTTAAAATTCATTTCATTGAGTTTTTTCACCTTGAGGTAAATACAAATATTTGGGAAAATAAAATTATATTTATTTTAATGTTTTATATTTCTAAATTCAGCTTTCATATAAAATATAGATTAAAATATTTTTAAATAATATTTATATACATAATATCGTTTGCATTCATTTGAAATATAAATAAAAATCTAATTTAAAAAATATTTTTTTTTAAATTTATAATAAAATATTGAAAATTCTAAGTATTTTTAAAATTTAAAAAATTTAACAAACAATTTTAAATATTTTAAGAATTTCAAAAAATGTAATGTATATGAAATAAATGATATAAAATATTTATAAGTATTTTTTTCAAGTTTTTCAAATATTTATATATATATATATATATATATAAATATATATCTAAAGGCTATACACATATCTCAAAAAGTCTCAGAGTTCAATGGAATTACATAGCTGAGCTAGATATCGCAAAGGAAATTAAGTTTAAGAGCATTTCGCCAAGGGAAGCCTAACAGTTCTGCTTCACATACCCCACTTAACAGCTCTGTTAGAGAGCATGCAATGAATAGTCGTGAATGCAATTTACACGACATTTTTATTTCAGAGTGTTGACAGTTGCAATTTTAATTATTTGAAATAAACGTGACCGAAAGCCAAATGAGAGAGCCATAAATACCCATGTAATTAAAAGTCAAACTTAAATACGTTTCAGAGAGCCATACAGGGTGCTGCATTGAGGAAATTGCCATAAAAGAAAGGTAGGAAACTGCAGTCGACTGCTTAATACTCGTTCATGGTTCGATCATAGATCGTATCTTCTATATATCTGGCTCTAGAAGAGTTCGAAAGGATGCTAATCCAGCTGTAAAGTTGCATTAGATGAACTTTAAAGGAAATCCGAGTACAAACAGACACGCTTCAAGTCTTTAGCTTCAATGGCCAATGCGTTCCCAGAAGGCAATATACTTGAACGAGTTACCATCTCCATGCTCCATGTACATATCGATAAACATGTGTCTGCACATGAGTTGATATCAAGAAAACACGAGTCAATCAAGAGTTGATTGAGCTAGGTTTGGACTAGAGTCGACAGCGGCTCTTCGCTGAGCTAGTTAATTGTGAGCTATCAGCACGCTTAAGTACGTGCTTAAAGCAGCGATCGAGGCATTCCCAGGTCTCTGTCTAGTGTTTTCTGTATAAAAGACGTCGAGTGCGAGCACTGAGGCAAGCAGTACAAACTCACAACTCAAGCGCAAACATGTTCAACAAGACCTTTTTCGTTGCCCTCCTTTTCTGCGGTAAGTGAACTAAACTAGCTCGGGATAACGAACAGAACTGATGATATCCTTGAACACCCATTCAGCCTGCTATTTGGGCGCTACCTGGGCACGCCCCCAGCTGCCCCAGCTGCCGCAGCTACCTATACCTGGAGCCGAAGCTCTACCCATTGGCAGTGTGGGCAGCGCTGTTGGTTCGGCAATCGGCGCAGCCACCGGAGGCCTCGCTGGCGGCAGCCTCGTGCCGCAGCTGCCGCTGGGCGGTCAAAAAAAGCTTCTCTAAGCCACAGCAACGCACACAACAAATCCCAACACGCAAATGTCAAATGGAATGCCAAAACTAAATCTATTCAACTGTCAACAATTATTAACTGAAACCTTGCATAATTAAGCTTATCTTAAAGAAAATGAAGTAAAACTTATTCACATAAACTATTACAATGAGTATATCTTACACTCTTTGCTCTCTTCTCTTACGTCTTCATCCACCTCTGCACTCGACTTCCTTTCTCTTCTCATCTCTCCCCGAAGAGAGTGTGTCTAGCTGGGCAAATGGAACTGCGGCACTTTTAGGGCAATTACCTAGGCAAGTCAGACTTTCTTTAGTCGAGACTGCTCGCCTAGGCGATACCCTGCAAAGAGCTGATAAGCTTCTTTTATGCATTTAATAAAAGCTTTACGATGGCAACTAAATTGTTATTTTACTTTTCTTCCTGAGAGACTTAGTCTTAAGACATGTGCCGTCCAAATGAGTCAAAGCACAAGTCTCTAGTATTTGAAATACGTTCTCTGTGAACTTGGAGGGTGGGAGGTAGAAGCGATATCAAAAATCCATATTAAACAAAAACTCTATAGGCATTGGAGCATCTTATACAATAAGGCTGAAGTCTCCAATATTTACGGCATGCCTACAAAAACGAAGCCAATTTATCGATCTTTAAGCGTGAGCTATCGAAAAAAAGATAATTTTCTACCACGTATGGTAGACACCACGCTTTTGTGGTTTACGAGATAACGGACAGACATTCAGATGGACGGACGGGCATGTGTAGATCGACTCAGCTTGTCTTCCCAATCAAAAATATGTATACTGCATGGGGGCTGCCTCCATCTGCCTACTACACACGCTTTCACAAAACTATTGTAGCCCGATTTTCCAATAAGGAGATTAGCAGGGAACGGCAGAGGAGGAGAAAGGGGAAAGAAATCTAAATGAATCCTCTCTCTATCTTTTCTTCTTTTTATTAAGTGTTAAGACTTTGCTGATCATTTCAAAATATATTTGACTAAAACTTTAAGTGGAAAACCATGATTGATAGCCTGTGATTGGTATTTTAATGATCTCAAAATTCGATACAGTCAGTTTCCAGGACGGAAGAGGAATCGCGGAAAGATACAAGCCTCAATGCCAGACTCAAATCGACCCGGGTTCAAGGTAAACTGATCGCAGGTCAGTCTCAACTAAAATAGTTTGAAACGGCATTATTTTATGGCCAGCATTAGGGAAATCAGAGGCGAAACAAATAAAGGCCTAAATGTGCTATGACAAACACAGAGTGACTAAACTTGAAACGTTTTATCACTTTTTGGTTTCAATGCAAGTTGAATAGTTGTTTACGTCATGGCATTCGCGCTGAGCTGAGCCTTTGCCAAGAAACCTTATGGAACACTGGACAAGTTAATCGCGCTTCTACGTGAGCTAGTCGAGTCGCAGTCAGCACGTAGCTAGCGGGCTTACGGAACTATTTAGTGCTAGGCCCAACTGGGAAATGTTTTAGTTATGCCTCAACCCAACAAGAATGTTCAACCAATTGATATACTTGCTTTTAGTGTGCAGCCGTAAGTGTTGAATAACTAATCTCTATATACGATCTAATTGAGTGACATTTTTTCCAGTGCTGACAGCTTGCAGCATGGCCCAAGCCTTGGAAGAAACAACAACAGCAGCAGCAGCAGCAGCAGCAGGAAACTCAACGCGTCGTGAGCTGGTCCGAAGTTTCATGAACGATGTGCAAAGTCTTATAGCCAATTTAATGAAGAGCTTGCAGCAGCTGACTGCAGCCTCGGACGGCAGCATCAGCATCAGCTAGACCTTTGCCAAAAATAACTCAAAGGCATCTCAAATTTCTGTTAAGGCAATAATAAAAATCCAATTGAATTGCTTTCAGTCTGATGCTGCATTTTAAGATCTATTTCATTTCCATTTCATTTGGAGCTTTAAGCTTTGATTGATGTGTGCGTGTCATGGGTCAAAGGTCAAGGCATTTTTAAGCCCCAACACACAGCAGCAACAAGCAACAAACAACAAACGACAAACGACAAACCATTCGCAGTCATTTATCAAATGACATTTCCCAGCTGTGAGAGTCTACAAGTGGATACACATGTTAACAGGCAGCATTGTAGGGACAAAGAAGGAGCAATAGGGAGAGCGAGCAGGCAGAAAGAGAAAGACAGAGAGAGAGAGCAGCCAGGCGCTGCAAAGGTATGGAGCTCTGAGCGTTAAGCAAAATGAAAATGCCAAAAATTATACATAAAGAGCAGCAAAACGAAAACAAGTCGAATTCTGAATACTCTGTGAACGAATATATGAAACTTGTAGAATTTCAGTAAATCGCATAGAAAACATAGATCTCAGCATGCGATATAGCTTATAGAGTATAGAGACCCAGCAAGAGTGTTACCGTGTCCAATAACTAAGCCAAAGCCAATAGCTTTGCCAGTTTATAGCTCATCGACTAGACAGCTCACTCAGTTCAGGAGAGGCTCTCATCAGATGGCATGTGACATACCTTGGGACAAGGTCAGCACAATAGCTAAAGGAATCTAAATTTAATCAAATCCTCAATAGATCGCTTCTTCTCCCTAAGCTTACGAACTTGTAAAGCCTTGTTCCACTTAATACTTCAATATTCAGCGAAGTATTTGAATAAATATTAGAATAAATCTGCAATACAGCTCAGCGTGGAGAGATCCCTCGAAAAAGTTAGGGTATAAAAATATGCCAAGAAAATCTTAACGAAATTTCTCACGTTTGCCATAATTACGAGCAAAATACGTGACATGTGTTTTGACTGCAAATTTTAGCAGCAGCAGCAGCAGCAGCAGCAGCTTGTCGAGCTACCCTATGCCCTGCCAACCCCTAGCCACTGCCCTACCCCCAACCCTACCGTTTGTTACTTCCGACCCGCCCAGGGCCGCTGGGAAGGGCTCCAGTATCGCGCCGGTTGTAAATGGTAATACCAACTCGTATACATAACCAATAAAAATCTGTTTAGGCCAGAAACGATAGCGGCTATAGCGAGTGGGTCGCGCCGGGGCTGGCAGCGTCGCAACAATTGTGCGAGTAATTCATAAAAATCTCTTGAGCAAATGTTAGCGACATGCACAGAGGCCGCTACGCAACCAGTTGCGATTTCCGGGGCTGTTCTTTTCTTGGCTGTTTTGTTTATAGTCTCACGCCCGGCGCATTTCGGTTTCTTCATAATTTATAATGCCTTAAAGCCGCACCGCAAAGCAGTTGAATCAGCAGCAGCAGCAGCAGCAGATGAAGCAGTCGAACTCCCAGAGCGTTGCGTGATTGAATTGTTGCCTGATTGACAGTTGACAGTTGAAATTGATTTTGGTGGTGCGCTGCCAGCCAGCTCGATAATGATGATGGCGGCGGTGGTTGCTGTTGTCACAATGCAAAGCCTCTGCGGCTGGGGCTGGGGCTGGGGCTGGGCTGGCCTGGGCTGGGCTTATTAATCCCCCGAGTGCAGGCGTGCATAAGTATCGGGCAAATGGATTAGACAGTTTTATGTGAAATATAACGCAACAACAAAAACAAGAAAAACAAAAGGATTTCAATGGAGCTCTTGCCCAGGCCCAAACTATTTAATTAAACTTGATCTTTACCTAGCAACAACAACGGCTAAGCCCTAGCTGCAGAGGTCTAGCATATGGTGTACATCCCAATCCAACTCTCTCTCTCTCTACATTGATTGCCATATTTGTGTGACAGCTAATGAATGACTGGAGTCCCTTTGTTGTCGCCAATCAAAGGATAAAGCCCGAACAAAATGTGCAACGCGTAGCATAGCAGCAGCAGCTGGACACCCAGGCACGAGTGGCCAGAGTTGCAGTCATCTAATTGATAGATGATTCGCATCATTTAAGCAGCTTTAATTGAATCATCAGCGGCAGACAGTCAGCCTCACTGGAAGGCTCAGTCCTGACGTCCACCCTATGAAGTATTGTGCTTGTCTATAGGGTCGATATGCAGTCAACTACAATAAGTAGTTCGCTCTCTAGAAACAGATAGTAATGGGGCTAAAACCACAAAGAGTTCTCAGCAATCGATACTCATTGATATTGTGTATCAAGGATTGCTCACTGATCAATCTGATTTGACTGATTGATCAATGAGTCAATCAGTTAAAAAAGTAAGCGATATATGTCTACGCAAGAGCATAGTTGAGTAAACTTTAGAAAAGTAATCAGGTATTGGTTATGACTCTATAGAAGGATAAATTCTCAAAATCGATATTTATCGATTTATGTATTTATCGCAATAGTTGATAAGCGACGTTTCATTTACTTCACAGAATATAGTTTGCTATACTTTAAGTATTTTTTATATGCTAAAAGTTATTAACTATCGATAAATCTAATCGATTCGAAGCAGGTGAAGAAGAAGGTGAATCAATGTATAAGTTACTTAGGGTACTACAAGTATGAATTACAACATTGAGCAACCGTGAAGAAAAGCTTAAATATATAAGTAAGAATATATGTAAATCGACATATATCGATAAATTTTTAAGGCAACAATATTTCTTTAAGCTGTGCCTTATATTACAGCAATGAAGCTTCTGTAGCTCAGCGTTAATGACAAACTTTCATTTGTAATCACAAATTGTGAGCAACAGTTGAAAGAGCAACATTCATTTACCTGACTAGGGACTATCCCTGTTAAGCGGTTCAACTTGTAATGCTGTTACTCAGAATTGATTGTAGCACATGAAAATATTAAAGCAGAGCAAGCAGATCAATCACAGTGCCAAAATGGGAAAAAAGGTTAACTTCCTTCAACAAATTTTAGCCAACGCAATGTGAGCAGGGCTACGAGGGGGGCTGCAACTGGAAGCCAGCTCCGTAAACAGTTCGATATGAAAGTATTGATTTGCTTTGACAAATCTGAGGGACTTGTAATTTCATTACAAAAGCCGTGGCACAAGATAACCACAAGAGAGAGAGTGAGTGAGAGAGAGGGGGCTAGGGACAGAGACAGCAAGCGGAAATGCTCAATTCCCCAATGTGAAAGTAATAGACCATACCAACAGCAACAGCAGCAATCCGTAGCCCCCAAAAGCAGGCAGCTGAAGTAGCTGTCTGGCACTCGAACGGGCGGCTTTTAAGATGCTTTGTGTGTGTGCCAGTCTGTGTGTGTGTATGGAAAATTAAATTCAATTGTGTGACAAGTTAATCCTATTCCTCATCTTCCAACTTTTATTTAAGCTTCATTCTTTATGCATTACATGCGACCGAAACTCCAGGCAAACTTCGAGTCATGCAGTCAATCAATCAATCATTCAGTCAGGCAGTCAGGCAGTCAGGCAGTCAGTCAGTTAGTCAGTTAGATGCTGTCAGAATTTGTTTGATATGTTGCAAGGCTGCGTCCAAAAAAAGTGAAAGCTAACCGAACCGAAGGGTTGTGCTCACGCACAGAGACTCGAGCTGCGTGTGTGTGGGGGGTTTCAGTCTGTGAATGTGCTGGGGCAACACTTCATTAAACTCATAAAGCAATAAAATGTGCTCTTGATGAACAGAACAAAAGCTGTAACAGGCACAGGCACAGGCACAGGCACAGGCTCAGTCGAATACCACCTACTACAACCACTTCACACACTCAACGAGCGATGCGCCTTCGATTGTCTGACAGCTCGACATTGTCTGCTAATGGCAACTGCAGAGCTGTCGACTCGAACGAGCTCGCCCTCTGCCTCACTTACTGTGCTCTGTCATCCATCACGCGTATGCGAGAGAAACCTTAAAGCTGCATTCCATATGGGCGCAACGCTACATCTCTATCTCTATCTCTATCTCAGTCTCAGTCTCAGTCTCAGTCTCTGTCTCTTTCTCTGTCTCTCTGGCTAGGTTGCCTTTGTAAGTATTCACAGTGTAGCAATCGATAATAATTACATTAGTTTTCTTTGTGTCGACACTTTTATTTCCATTTCCAATTATCGGAAATGCGTCAAGGAAGCCAACATCTAGATTTCGTATGCTATAAAAGGCTATTTTTTGTTATCTTCCGGCGTTAAGACGAGCTAATGGGTTCTTCGTCATGATTTTTGAAAGACTAGTGGCTACCTATAAGCACATATACATATATGTACATATATATATATACTTAAGATATGCTGTGTTTGAAATCTGAAATTGTTATCCCGAACTTTATCTGCATGGAATAGAGTTTGGGCATTAGTTGGACTAGCTGAGCTCGTTCTGTTCGGTCTTCTGAACTTACTTCCCCTTTTCTCCGACAGCTGTGCTCGTACAGAAGCAGCTGCACTTCAGATGCAAATCGAATAATTTCCTTGAAGGTTTTCGCTCCACTGTGTAATGAATCCCATTTGCTTAGTGGTCGTAAAAGTCGAGATAGAGTTCAACTACTCCAAGGATCTATCGAATTTAGTGCATAAGCAGCGGCACTTCGTGCGAGTCGATTGCAGTCCAGAATTCATAAAGCCGAAAGCCATCATTCCAAATAAAGCAGAGCGCGTACGACTTGCAGAAAAAGCAGGAAATATTTACGTTTTCCATTTCCATTTACAGACTTAACCTCTGCCTACGAAAGATGTAAAGATTGTTGATCGTTGAGTCAGGTGCACTTACACACCTTGTTCTTACTTGATCAGGAAGAATGCTTGACCCTGAAAGTTCATTCGCCCTATGGTAGAATAGTATTTGCTTGAATGTGAAGTGCTTAGGCTGTCCCGCAGCCTAGGTTAGACAATTGTCGCAGAGACTAGCTCCGCGTTTGCTGCAATGAGTTGAATAGAGTGTTATATGAGGTGCTCTGGGGTAACATATGCGTGTGGTCTTACCTTCAGCTTTCATTTAGTTTGATTTAATTTGTAATTCGTGTAGTAGATACAAGAGGAAAAACCAAAGATTTTCGTTCACGGGAAAACTCTTAAATAAGGTTTTTGTTTTTTAAATATAGAATTTGATGAATCTGTTTGCGATCTTAGCCCGAGATATGACTTTAATGTCTACGACACATCTGTATTGATATGGTAAAATGGAGCTAACATCACCGCGTTTCGTTGTGTTTTGAATTTTCCGCATTCCTATTTTATTTCCATATATATAAAAAAATGTAGCTCAGTTCACCGTTCCTTGTTATGGTCTAACCTCCCAGTGCTTAAAATGGATGTCACTCCCCCCCGCCCAAGCGCCTCCTATTGCAACCGTGGCCATCGTGCAAAGCTGCAATTGAATAGACCTTGAATCTGATTTTCGTTTCTCGATTTTCTTACTTTTTTGTGTGTTTTTTTCTTCCTTCCAAAGATACTTTATTTGTGATGTCACTGCTCTGTCATTTTCATCATCATCATCATCATCATCATCTTCACCATTGTCGTGGTCTAGACCAAAGTTCGTGTCCCTCAGCTATCCGCTTGGGGTGTGGGGTTGGTGTTGGGGTTGGGGGTTATAAATGCGATGCGTATAATAGAGTAGCCGAGATGTATCTTTATTACGGTAATTGCTCATTGAACAGGAAATTATTATATGCGTGCGTGTACCGTCCGTCGTCCGTCCTCCGCCTCCGCCTCCACCTCCGCTGCCCTCGGATACCCACCAGCCAGCCAGCCAGCTGGGCTGGGCTGGATAGACCGCTCAGTCGGCTTTCGCTTTTAGCGTTTGCTTCGGTGCGCCCATTGCCAGAAATAGACAAATAACGAAAAAAAGAAAGAAAAGGGCAAGAAGCTGGAAGGTGGGGAGATACGGCTCTATTGGTGCTCTATTTTTGTTGCGACATAATAGTAATAATATAATGCGAATTTTCGGTTAGAGTCAGTGTTACGAGTAGATGCTCAAAGCTTATGTATAACGCCCACCTATTCTAGCAATCAAGGTTCTCTTATTCTGTTTCATCATTTCGGAATTTATGCCACTTACGTCTGCTGAATGCTCTCCGCACACATCGAGAGTCGGCTCGGGCGGCTCTTCACAAATTGTTGCTGGGCTCGGTGGCAGTACCACTCCGTTGTCTGTGCCAAAAGAAGGGAGAAGGGGGGAGGGGCGGGTCGGAAAACAAGGGGATGGGTGCGGTGGGGAGGGGTGGGTGGTGGTGGATTGGATTGATGCCTGTCGAGAATTAATGTCGTGGCTCGGGCAACTGGTCGGCAGCCGGCAGCATTTGTGGCTGGATCCGTCGACGCGGACGTATATCGTCGCCGCCGCCATCCTGATCAATGGGTCGGGGAGGCAGTCGCCAGCTCCACACATGCACCCCGTCGCCCTCGCCCATATCGAAGTGTACGCGCTGGCGCTGTAAAATGATCCGAAGGTTCTGCACGAACCGTGCCACATCCACGGGATTCTCGTGTTGCAAGCGGGCCGCCACCAACGGCGGTATGAATCGATCGTATTCGTGTTGCTGCTCCTCGTTGGGTCCCCAATGCAGCTCCGGCTGGGGTCGGCGCTGGCGCATGTTCAGCTGTCTGGGCCGAGGAGGGTTCATTGCTGCTTCTTCTTCTCTGCTTCTTTCTTTCTTTCTCTGTGTGTATGTGTGTGTGTGTGTGTATTTTTTTGTTCGAGTTTGTTTCCCTTTTCTTTTCCTTTTTTTTTGTTACTTTTTGTTTCGTTCGTTCGTTTCGTTTGTTTCGATTGTTCGTTTGTGTGTGTTTGAGGTTTACGGAGCTTTTTTGGATATTGACTTGAGGCTTGTTTGTTTTTTTGTTTTGGTTTTTGTATCTATACCGGAATTTGGGAGGGGGAAAGACAAAAGTAAAAACTTAAAAATTATTTGAAAGCCTGATTTATCAGTTCTATAGTCTAAAAAGAATTTGGCCGATATGCCAGCCAGGCGCTCTGAGTGAAACCTCCACCGGCTACTCGGTTCACATAGAACATTTTCATTTTCTAATCACATCCTGCAGAAGAAACTCCAAAACTAACGAGTTGTCAGCATAATAGGCACTAAATGTTCAATCAGCTCGTTGCTAAAGCAGGAGGAAAAGCTTTGCCGCTTTCCAATCGGAAACTCGTTGGAAAAGCAGCGAGCAATTACTCGCTGCACAACTAACGAGTAACTTGCAGATTATACAGACGTCGGGTTGGCCGAAAATGTTGCACAATTCGGAGTCGATAAAATAAGCTCGTTGCAAAAGTAACGAGTGAAAGCTGGAGAAACTTCTCAGCCAACGAGTGAGGTTAGCCTTAGCGCCTTGAGAAGTAACGAGTAGCTTTCTGATCGACTTGTCACTAAAGAAACAAGCTCTTAGGCTACATAGAGACAGCACAGTGTATGACTAGCAAATACCCTGTATTCAGCTCAGCTCGTGACTTCAAATTAAACAAATTGAGTTGAATTACGTTAGCCGCACTGAAGTTTATCTCAACGAACTCTGTCAGGCAGCACTTCACACTTTAGATCTATGCCGCACGCCTACATGCGAGCATGTCTACATGTAGCGTAAGCGCTGCTGCCTTTTCCTGCTGCCCTGTCAGACGTTTGTCCTTAATCAAAATGCACACACTTGATGCATATTTAATTAAACTTTCACCTTTTTGAGGGAGCGTTTCAAAGAATTTTGGCCAAAACAACCGGGTCGAGAGCACTTTCTAGCTAAGCACGAAAGGTGGGCCATGGCCCGGTGGGCTGGCGGGTCGGGGGGCGGGAATTCCGTACAACCAGAGTTCATTTTCATTTTGGAAAACAGAAATGACTTAAAAGCGACACGACGGCACTTTAATTAAATCAGTTTTAATTAATGCAAAATGCGAATTTCAAAAGATGTTGCCTAGACATCTAACAACAACATGAAAAACAGATGAACAGATGAACAGATGAAGTCGGGGCGAGGGCGCCAGAGTGGATGCAAGCTGGAGCGGGGCTAGGCAGCAGACCACATTTTGTTGTCGCATAATTACAACTCAATTGTAATCCAATTTTTGGGCAGGCATATAAATCGGATTTCATTGTGACAGCCACGCCCTGTCGCACACCGCCCTCCCTCCCACTCTCTATGGCTCTCTGTGTCTGTGCGTCTGACAGTGGTGTCTGTGTCAACTTTTTTCGGTGTCAAATAAATAAACTTTTGACAGTCGGCAGACAGACGGTCGGGAGGAACTCCGATCTGAGCCTGTGCCGGAATTGCAAATTAGTTTGTCACAAGCAACAGACCCATTAGGGCTAGGGGCTGGAGGCCTTACTGCTGCCTGCTGCCTGCTGCCTGCTGGCTGCGTGCGATTGAATGCTTTAAGAGGCGTGTCCGAGTGCTGCAAATGTTTGTGTCTGCTGGCTGCAAACGTTGCAAATTAGTTGCACATGTTTCGTCCGCAACTGAAAAACAAGACGTGTTTCCACTAATTTGGCCAAAATCAACAGCTGTGCATACATGCGACAGTGTTCAAGTGTGTGTGTGTGTGTGTGTGTGTGTGAGTGTGTGAAGAAAACTCATCATAACTTTCTTATCAGAAACTTATTTTAGGCAACGAGTGCCGCAAAGATATTCGCCCCACCCAAAAAAAAAAGAAGCAGGAAAGAAAAGGATAACTCAGCTAGCTTGGCAACAAGTGGTGCAGCCAGACTCTGAAATACCCTGTAATGTCAGGCATTCGAGCTAATTCTAATAGCTCTAAATTGCTCAAGTTCATAGGCTATATTTTGTAATGCTTCTTCTTGAATATGCCCTGTAAATACACCATCAAGCTCTCAACTCATTCTCTAATATCTTAGCTAAATATAGCGCATCATGAGCTTAAGATGTGGCAAACTCTATGCTCTCTTGCAGCATCCACTAGTGCTGCTTTTACAGGGTATCTGAGCACAAAGATATACGTATGTAGAAGCACACATATGATAGAAAATGCCTTGAAAACTTGTTATAATTACACTGTCTTGACAGCCAGCTGTGAGCGTGTGTCCTCATGCTCATCCTTAAGTTAGCCATGCCGTGCACCCCGCACGGCCTGCTGCTGTCGTCGTGACTGACTAACTGGGCTAACATGCATGAACAGTAACATATGTTGGACTTTGGCACAAAGTTTTGCCAGTTTTTGGCGCGCTTTGGCCACGATGCCATTTTTAGCAACTCGAATCCACAGCCAACTTCTGCTTAGACTCTCGCCCCGCCCCATTCCCAGCTGCCCCTCATTCAGTGCGGAACGTGTGCGTTTTGTGGTTGAGTTGACGCACACTTTAGGCGCAGCATGCAACAGCTGTGGCACAAACACAATCTGCCGAGCCCCGCCTCCATGCCGGCCAGTTAGCCGCCCCTTCTAGTCGCTGCGACTAACAAAGTTTCGCCCAGCACAAATTAAAGTCAACAAAAACTAGAATATCAGCTTGCCAAATGGCCATCATCATTTCAATAAGACTCAACAACTTTCTATATGTCCAGCAAAGGGTGTTATGAAACCAGGCAAGCGGGGGCCAGTAGAAAGTGTTCGACTCACAGCTACCCTGCACAGATAATATAAACTCATGGCATGTGAAGCTGAGAAGATCGTTCAAGCGGACACACGGAAGGAAGGGCAAAGGACAGACGCAAGGAAAGACGCAAGGACAGTCGGACAGACAGACAAAGGGCTATAGCTAGATCGATTAACATCGCTGTCCTTATCACATAAAATTTAAAAGTGAGCTGGATATTTGATATACTTCCTGTGCCAGCCAGTTGCTAAGTGTTGTAGCTAGCTCAACCCAAACGTGCTCCATGCGTTTTCCTTGATAGTTCGAAATCGAAGTCAGTATTAGCTATGCGAAGGGATCTATGTAGATGTAAACAGGCAGCGAGATAAAGTGTTAAACTTTAAGTAATCAGCGACTGAGCCAAATGATGCCGAAGAAAACAAAGGAAAATGAACCCGAAAAAGCACTTTGATGGCTCACACCACAAGGCGAAGGAGCCAACAAAAAAGTTAAAAATTATTGCAGCATGTGTCTGTGTGTGTGGGTGTTTGCGTGTGTGTGTGTTAGCTTAATATCGAAATAAAAAGCCCGTCAATATTAGACAACGAATGAAGGAAGAAACACAGTGAACAAAGCCAACGCGAGGCTGCCCAAAAAAAAAAGGAAAAACCAAAATTTTGACATAGGAAAAACGAGTCCCAAAGTTAAAAAAAGCGGAACCAACTTTGCCAAGTTTTCAGAAAGGGGTGCTAAAGAGTGGGAGGCGGCTGTGAGGCGGGGTTGGACTACAAAAATATAAGCCTAAAAATGGGCTAGCCGAAAATAAATATGGCAACAAAATGGCAGCCAAGAGCTTGACAGAGAAACGGGCTGGTTACAAGTGGAAAGGAGCTAAAGACGCTTCTGCGTGGGCGCGATGCGAGGGTTGAGCGACTCGCTGCGCGGAGGGGGTGCCGTAGTCGTGAGCTATGTGAATTGCATATGCGGCACACGTATTTGCGCTATAATTATTTCGTACGTGAGCGCTGCGCTCAACTTGGCCCGGAAAGCAGCGTGGAACAAAGACAATGCCAGCAGAAGCGAAAGACACCGAAAGCGAGACAGAGAGAGAGAGAGAGAGAGAGGGAGTGCGAGAGAGATGGAAAAAGTTAGGGGTAGACAGTAAGCGACATTTGCGACACCGTAGCAGACTTGCATCCTGTTCAGATTGTCTGCGAAGACGTCGCCAAGCTTAAAGCAAGCTTGCAGCTGGCCTTAAGATATAAATTGACTTTGCTTCAATCAAGCAACTAGAGATGGGTGTGTGAAAACGGGACGTGATTGAACGCCTTAAATAGCGATTAAAGATGAGAGTATTATATGAAATCAGGGTTTCTTTCGATCCACTGCTAACTGACTGATTGACTGACTGAATGATTGACTGACTTGATGATTGACTGACTGATGTGTAGATTAAGTTTTTTATTGATGGACTGACTGACTAATGAGTCAATTGATTGATTGATTGACTGATTGACTGACTAAATGACTGACTGATTGTTGATTGACTCCCTAATGAGTCAGGCTGGCAGATTGACGGACTAAATGACTGACTGATTGACTGACTTAATGATTGACTGACTTGATGATTGACTGACTGATGTGTAGATTAAGTTTTTTATTGATGGACTGACTGACTAATGAGTCAATTGATTGATTGATTGACTGATTGACTGACTAAATGACTGACTGATTGTTGATTGACTCCCTAATGAGTCAGGCTGGCTGATTGACGGACTAAATGACTGACTGATTAACTGACTGAATGATTGAATGACTTAATGATTGACAGACTGATTTGTGGATTAAGTTCTTTATTGATGGACTGACTGAATAATGAGTCAATTGATTGATTGATTGATTGATTGACTGATTGACTGACTAAATGACTGACTTAATGTTAATTGACTCTCTAATGAGTCAGTTGATTGATAGGCTGGCTGATTGACGGACTAAATGACTGACTGATTGACTGACTTGATGATTGACTGACTGATTTGTGGCTTAAGTTCTTTATTGATGGACTGACTGACTAATGAGTCAATTGATTGATTGATTGATAGATCGACTGATTGACTGACTAAATGACTGACTTAATGTTAATTGACTCTCTAATGAGTCAGTTGATTGATAGGCTGGCTGACTGACTGTCTGATTGACTGACTGCCGAATTGACTGAATGCTTGACTGACTGATTGACTCACTGACTGGCCGAAAGATTCATGAATCTTCAACGCATTTGTAAGTAATCATTCTTCTTATGAATGAATCACTTAATCACAAAATATTGGCAAATCATCAAGCTTTGCAACTCGAAACCAAGCCAAGCCAAATACTGAAAGCAATTCAAGCGAGTTAAAGAAAAATAATATTATACAATTTTTTGGCAAGTTTTTTACAATGCGTTGAAGTCAGAGAAGGAGAGCACGTGACAGAGGGAAGCGTGTCGGCAATTTGTTATGACGCCCGCAGACAACAGAGGGCGCCATCAACAGACAGCAGACAGGTCTCGGCACTGACGCAGCGCAGACTCTGACAGCTCGCAGACAGAGCCAACAGCTGCGGCCAGGTGCAATCCGCATCTGGACAGAGGTAAGCCCGAAAAATAAATATCAGTGGAAACATGCGACAGCTACAGCCACAATGACAACAGACTTGCAACCCAACAGCTGAGACAACTTCTCGTTTTTGCATAGTTGCAAGTGGCAACCGCAGTGCGCGTGTGTTGCCTGTGGCCCAAGCGGTAAGTGCAAATAAGTGTAGCTCGTAATGCGATTCTGTACGCAATTTACAGTGGAGCATACTAGTTTGGTATAAAAAGGTACATTTTTGCCCATTTGCAGGCATTCAACTATGCAGAGCGAAGTGAGTCTAAGGCTCAAGGGCTGCAGCTAATTGCCTGAGCTAATAATGGAGCCATAGGAAAAGAAGTGACAATAGAACAGGAACTAATTAGGATATTTATACCTATTTTAATACTGCAGTAAGATGCCACGAGATGCTATAACAGTGCTTAAGATGCAAGCTGCAATACTGAATTACTCGCTAACGTCTTGCTCAATACTTAGCTTTGTCTGTATATTGACCTAGCAGAGAAAAACTTGTTAATTGAACTGAGAATCGCATAGAGAGGCAAATAAACAATCAAAAGCAGACGACAATGAGTCACACATCATTAAGAGCAGCTATAAAGAGAGAAAGATAAAGTAAGAGAGAGGAAGATGTGGAGCCAGAGAAGAACGCAGAGAGAGCGAGAGAAAGAGAGAGAGGGGAGGGAGAGGAAGGAGGAGAGGCAACTCGAAATGCAACTTAATTCACATAAAAGTCACATAAAGTAAATAAGTTTGATTATGTGAGCAAGCGAGAGAATTGGAGTGAGAAGAGTGAGGTGAGGAGGTGTGGTGTGGGGACGCTTAGACGCATGGGAGACTTGGGGTACACACTGTCTGGCCTGGATGCAGAGCTGATGCTCGAGTGGGCGCTGACTGTGACAGTTGTCGCCGTTTGTATAATTAACATTCACAATGAAAATGAAAATGGCGGGATCGGGCGGGTGGCTGGTCAGACGAAGGCTGCTGAGTGGGTGGTGCGGCTCACTGAGTGGGTGGCAAAAGTTTTTAATAAAGCGAAACAACAAACATGGCGCTAGCGAAGTGAAGGCCAACAACTATAGAGCAAAGCATACACTCGCCCACGCACACACACACACACACACACACACACTCGCACAACAACCGCCAACAGCCACAATAATGACACACAAAAAACTTTGACAATGTAGTCGTGCGTGCTGACATCCTCCCCTTCTGTCAAGCTTCGCTGCCCACTTGGTCCTATATAGTTACTGCGCCTTTTAGCCAACGGCCCATTGCCATTCAAGCCGCATCCTCGGCGCTTTAACGGAAAAGGATTTCAGCCGCAATGAAAACAGCTATGAAAACCACAAAATGTGTTGTTGCTGCAGCGCTGTAGCAACGTCTCCCTCTCTCTCTCTCTCTCTATGCGTGTGTGGGTGGTGCACTGGAACATCAAATTGCTGACCACACACAGCACAGAGCGGTCGCAACGGGTGGGCGGTGGTGCGCCGGGGCGGCCGGTGAGGGATGATAGGCGGCATGCGGCGACGTTTGGATGAATGGATATTCAATTGCATTGGGTGTGCGTTACAATTGAAGCGGTTTTAAAATAAACGAATGTGGCTTATTACGCACACACACGCACGCACAAATACACACACAGCTAACACCCGCACAACAAAATAAATAAGGAATTGAAATTGACAAGCTGTGACAAGGACAAACAGGAAACCGGCCTGACAGAGCAGGAGACAAAGGCTGAGAGAGAGGGAGAGAGAGAGCTCTAGACTTCGCACTCGGCGCCAGATCCTTGAGAACTTTGTAGGCCAAGTACAGTGAACACTCGCTTAGGCAGCCAGCAGCAGCTGTGCCACAAAAGCTACATCCTTGGAAAAGAAAGCGATTCACCTTATGCCAGACATGCTCTTCTTTGTCATGCCAGCGGGAGTACTCCATAGCTCTATAAGCCAGAGAGCCACTCGAAGAGGGTCGAAGAGGGTCTCCGGCTAAATAAAACAAAATTTCAATTTGTTATTTATAGCATTCACAATTAAAGACGCTTTCTAAAGACCCATCTCTCTATTACATTTGTCTGCTGCTCGCTCGTGGCGGTGAAGGACCTCCACATCGAGCTGAAGCTGAGACAACCCTCATCAGAAAGTCGTTTTGTGTTTTTGCCATTTAACTAAGCACGTGGAGCTGGCTCTGGCTGGCGACAACTCGGACACCTAGAGGCACCACCAGAGTACGCCCGGAGGCAGTTACGCACTTTGATCACGTCAGCCTAATAAGATTTTAAAGGTTGTTTCTCGATGGGCGTGTCAGAAATCAAGTGAAAAATGTAAAAGTAAAGGCGGCTCGACACTTGATGGGGGCAGGCACCAGCGTGAGCCATGGCATTGCCATGTTCCATACAACACTCGAACGGGCTAATTTTATTAATGTTGCCAATTTCGAAGGTCCCAACCCAACCCTCCACAGGTAAGTCGGGGGCATCGAGGGGTTCATTCTGTTACAGGGTTGCAATGCCGACGCGCGCAATTAAATATGAAATATTTAAGAGCTGCCTGGATGGGCTGGGTTGGAAGGGGCGGCAGGGCGGGGCAGCTGGGATGAGCGGCTGGTAGATGGCGCAACACAATGTGCGTTTCATTCACTTGCCAAAAACTTTGGCGAAGCAAACAAAGGGCGCACAGCAGAGCGGGCGAAACAGGGCCACGCCGAGACTAATTAATAATTTTTAGGCCATTCAGCAGAAAAATGAGGTGTAAACGCAATGGGTGGGGGCGGGGTCGAGGCCTTACAGGTGCCCTGGCAAACTTTGACTCCAGTTGATTAAGTTGCCTTTTTAATGGAGTTCAAAGTGATTTCACTTGCAATTAATGCGCGACGAGGCGATGCCATGGATCGCGCCAGCGTCAGCGATTGGTGTCTGGAGAACTATTCGAATTGACCGACTGCAGATACTCTCTATATCAATTTAAAGTATCATCAACCAGTAAGAGTGCTCTAATCGCGAGTGCCCGACTTGGAGATGACCGGAAACCTGCGTCTAGTTTTTGTTCTAGATGCATTTTCTTAATGGAATTTAGCGTGGTATGATAGTAATAGTAGTGGTAGGAATAGTAGTAGTAATAAAAGTAATAGTAATAATAGTAGTAGTAGTAGTAATAGTAGTAGTAGTAGTAGAAATAATAGTAGCAATAATAATAGTAGTAGTAATAAAAGTAGTAGTAATAATAATAGTAGTAATAAAAGTAGTAGTAGTAGTAATAGTAGTAGTAGTAATAGTAGTAGTAGTAATAGTAGTAGTAGTAATAGTAGTAGTAGTAATAAAAGTAGTAGTAATAGTAGTAGTAGAGGTAGTAGAAATAATAGTAGTAATAATGATAGTAGTAGTAGTAGTAATAATAGGAGTAGTAGTAGTAGAAATAATAGTAGCAATAATAATAGTAGTATTAATAAAAGTAGTAGTAATAATAATAGTAGTAGTAATAATAGTAGTAGTAGTAATAAAAGTAGTAGTAGTAATAGTAGTAATAATAATAGTAGTAGTAGTAGTAATAATAGGAGTAGTAGTAGTAGAAATAATAGTAGTAATAATATCAGTAGTAATAAAAGTAATAGTAATAATAGTAGTAGTAGTATTAATAGTAGTAGTAATAGTAGTAGTAGTATTAATAGTAGTAGTAATAGTAGTAGTAGTAGAAGCACTGGCAATAGTAGTAAAATTAGTAGTAAAAATTCTAGAGCTCCCACTTGCAATAGGTATCGGCGTATAGTGACCTCCCCTAATATTGATCATTCCTAAAAGCCGACTGCCCAATACCATAGTAACTCGAAAGAGGAAGAAGGGTAGTATTAGTAGAGCAAAGCATAAAAGTATAGCCCTCACTTGACATCGCAACAAAAACTCAGTTTCCTCGCAGTTCCGTTTAGTTTACACAACTTGATGGACTTGTTAAGCCCGACAATGCGAATTGGCGGGCATTGGGACAATCAAATTTGGAAGCACCCCTTACAAGTGTGCATATTTCATTTCATTTATATTTTGTAAAAATTATAAATCAATCAATACAAATAAAAGCCAAGTAAGTGAAACTTTGGCTGCCTTTTGTTGAGTGCAAAGTTAGATGGTTTTGTTGATTGGGTAGTCGAGTCGACATGAACTAATAACTAAAATAATTTGCATTCGTTGCTGCTACTGTAGCAGGTGCTGTCTAACAATAGCTGGATCCACGCCAAGGACGTAGCAACCGTTGATACGACGAACGTAGCCCTTGTTGGAGGCTTCATACATGGCATTTGGGGCCAGACGCTTGACAATTTCCTCTGGGCAGCCGAGACGCACGGCCAGTTGGGTCAATATGAATGCGAATGTGAGCGGCTCACCGTGCTCCACCATCAGGCTGAGCAGTGCGCCCAAAATGTTTTCGTTCCACTGGACCAAGGCTGCCGCTGTGGGCGGCGGAGCCCGGCAGCCATTGATGCGAATCGGATTGGTGTAGTATATGGTATTCGAATAGTAGTTCGGATAATGCTTTGTGTATGCATAGGTATTCTGTTGTTCGTATTCCTCCTGCTGCAACTGCTGCTGTTCATACTCCAGTTGATGTTGCTGTGGTTGTTGTGCTTGCTGCTGCTGCTGCGGCAGCAGATGACCACGTCGAGCGGCGTACATGATGCGCTTTGGCTGCTTCAGCTGTTTGGGCTTGTTGAGTAGTGACTTGGCCGAGTAGCGAAAGCTCTTGAGCGGCAGCTCATTATAGTACTGTTGGTCTATGTTAGCTGGCTTCGGATCCTCATAGCGTGTGAAGTCTTCGTTTTGCGGCTGAAAAGTATATGTTAATTGTTGCAATGGCTGCTGCTGTTGCTGCTGCTGCTGCTGCTGCTGCTGCTCTTGCTGCTGCTGCTGCTCTTGCTGCTGCTGCTGCTGCTGCTGCTGCTGCTGCTGTTGCTGCTCCTGCTGCTGCTGTTGCTGCTGATAGTAATTGGGATTGACAGCCAACTGATCCTGGTTCAGCTGCTGCTTCGGTAGTGTCTGCGGCAAAATCGGCATTGGCAGCGGCAATTGTTGCTGATAGATCTGAAAGGGATGAATGAGTACATAGGAGGGATTAGACGATGGCAATGTTTGGGCAATCGGTATCCACATAACAGGCTGAGGAGCCAGGGAGTGTTGCTGTAGCTGCAGTTGCTCTTGCTGTAGCTGCTGCTGCTGTTGCTGCTGCTGCTGCTCTTGTTGCTCTTGCTGCTCTTGCTGCTGCTGCTGCTGCTGCTCTTGCTGCAGCTCTTGAGCTGACTGAAATTTGTCGCCGTACTGCAACTGCTGCAACTGCTCCTGTTCCTGTTGCTGTTTCAGTAGCTGTTGCTGTTGTATTTGCTCTTCCTCCTCTTGAACGACTTGCTGCCAACTGCCATTAATAGGCATCTCGAACGGCGGATCCTCTTCTTCCTCTTGCTGCTCCTTAATTTGCTGCCAATTGTTGTTGACTTTGTTGTCGCATTCGATAGTGTATAGCTGTTGGCTCACTGGCTGCTCTTGAGCTACATGTTGCCAGTTGGTATTAGGAACCATAACGTATTGCGGTAGCTGTCTGAACTGCTGCTGTTGTAGCTGCAGCTGTAGCTGCTGCTGCTGTTGCGGCTGCCAATTGCTATCGACATTCACAATGTACTGCAGCGGCTGCTCCGGAGCAACCTGCAGCCAATTGTTGTGACCATGCACAACGTATTGAAGTGGCTGCTGCGGCTGCTGCCAATTGTTGTCGCCGTGCACAACATATTTCAGCTGAGTCGGCTGATGTTGTTGCAATTGCAGCGGCGATTTTCTCAGCTCAACTTGCTGCCAATTGCCATTGCCATGGAAAGCGTATTGCTTTAGCTGCTGCGGCTGCGGCTGCTGCGGCTCAAGTCCTATTTGCTGCCAATTAACATCGGCATGAGCACCATAATTTAGCTGTTGTTGCTGCTGCTGCTGCTGCTGTTGCTCTTGCTGTTGCTGCTGCTGCTGCGGCTGATCCTTGTGGTCCTCCTGCAGCAAAATGTTGGTTTCAAAAGTAGCGCCGCCACGTGGCTTGAAAACCTGAGCACCCGGATTGAGAGTAGAACGTTTAAAAAGACGAATGGTTTCGGCCATTTTTTCTCAATAAAAACAATAAAAATATAACGATCTGAACTATGCGAAATGTTTTTCAGTTCTCAACCCTCAGGCCACATAGAGACGCAAGCCGACATGTGTGACAGCAAAAGCATCGCATTCTACGATTGCTACAAAACTACAAATTTGCTGCTCAACTAAATGGGTATAGAGAAAGAGATAAATTGGGATTGAGAGATAGAGGAAAAAAGCAGATACTGAGCCAGCACGAGATAGTTTATTGAGAGAGAATAAGTCTAAATGCGAGGTCTAACGGAGGCATCTATAGATAAGGTAAGAGGGAGTGTGGAGTGAGAGAGAATGAGGTCTAGAGGACAGGTCTAGACAGGAGAAGTCTACCGAGAGGAAATAATAGCTACAGACACAGAGAGGGAGAGAGGGAGAGGGAGAGAGTGAAAGGTTGAGGGAGAGAGAGACAAAGAGGGAGAAGGCATCTACCGAGAGCGAGAGAGCAAAGCCTAGAGAAGAGGTCTACTCAGGAGAAGAATAAGAGCGAGAGAGTGCTAGAGAAAGAAAGCTAGAGAGGAGGTACAGAAAAGAAGCATAAAGGAAGCATATATAGAAGTAATTCACTAAGAAATCTGGAGAAAAGAAAGATATAGAAGAGGAGGCAAAATCTAGGGTAGAACCCGACTCTAAGGAAAAGCTCAAGACTAGATCTATAGCGTTCTATAGAAGAGATCTAATAGAGTTAGCTGGGGAGCGCTGGGGAGGACTAGGACTAGGTCTTAACTCTGTGTTAGGAAAAAACAGTTGAGCAAAATGTACATAGTTCAGTGAAGTTTGCTTGCACATGAATATTATATGCCAAGTGCTGGCGAACAGTGTTGTAGAAAGCCGCATTGTACAGTTTCGAGCACTTTTCAATACTTTTAAAGTTTCAAATGCCGCATTCAAATAATCCACTTATGTGTGTGCGTCTGTCCGCCTGTCTGCGATTCAGTTATGTCAGAGTTGCTCGTGTTGCTGAGGCAACTTGTGTCGGACGGCAGCTGACAGATGGCCAGATGACAGACACTGCGAGAGAGAGAAAGAATGTGGGAAAGTGTGAGAGAGAGAGACAGAGAGACTAATTGGAGCTGCAGTCGGTGGGCGACTGGCTGCACAAAGCATATAAATATCCATAAATGCTGAGCACCCAAGTAGGAAAACACTTTGCAGCAGCAACAACAAAGGAATTTGCTGCAGAATTTTTGCGGTTGTATTTTGTGTTTTGTTTTTTAGCTTTGTTTTTTTCAGCCCGGTGCCCTGACAATTATTTACACTCAAAAGTTGTTGCCCAAGTTGGCAGCCGGCAGTGCAATGCACAAAATGAAGTTGTAGCTGTGGCAATGTTCCTGGCTAAGTTGTACAGGATGCTCAGGGGCACAGGTGCAGCTGCAGCTGCCGCTACCCCCACCTGACTGTGCCTGCGCTGCCTGAAGTTGCAAGTAGGTTGCTGCTTCCAAGTTATGGTCTGCGACAATTGCAAAAATTATGCAAGTGCTGTGCCAGTCCTATCCCAGGCAGACAGCTTGACTGCCTGCCCTGCCCGCCTGTTGTCCTTGCAGACAATTAGGCAGGAACAATGCAGCAGCACAAGCTTTGCAAATGCTCATGCATGCCACAGCGAGTAACTGCACCAGCTCGAGCCCCAGCCCGCTCGCTATGCAAACACCTCTGGCCACTCGGGTGCATATCCTGACAGGATGTGTTAAGCCAGCATTTGGACTGAGCAGCAAAGCATTGAAGTTCATTGCCGAAAGTTGCCACAGCTCCAGCTCAGGCTGTAACCGGCTAGAAATATGGCTAGATTTGGGGGCAAACTAGATATATTTGATGAAGAAATTCGTTTCCAAGTTAGCTTGTTCTATGATCTTAACAAGGAAATCGAAATGCTCTAGCAACACCTCATCAAGCAGCAAATCAAGTTTTTTAGCTGGAAAAAAGCTATGAAGTGCCAACACTAGCCGTGATGACAGCTGTGTGCTCTGCGAGGCGAGCAGGATGCTCTGACTGAGCAGATATTCCATGCTTGAGGATGTTTCAAATTACAACTCCACAGTATGATTTACCTAATTGCAATGTATCCAAAGGCCCAGCCCCAGCCACATTCCCAGCCCCTGCGAAACAATGCAAAAACCCGGGTTAAACCTAATGTTGAGTGTCTCATTTATAACTTGGTATTCAGATTTGTATTGGCAGCAAACTCCCGAGTCTTGTGGTTGAGCTCGCGCTGTTGTTGGATCGCCCGGCTCTTGTTCTTTAATTCATACTCTTTAAGGCGTTCCGGAGACATGAACTTAAGTAAACGATGTCGATTATTGGCCCTATGACGGTTGGCAGCCATGCAGATGCGACGGGAGAGTTCGTGGCCAAAGCATGTTCTGCGCTGTTCTCCATCGCCGTTTGCCACATAGGAACGCAATGCCAAGCCTGCCAAATGGTTTCAAATATATTAGTCTCGCTCGATTCTCCAGCCTCCAATCCTGGGCTTCCTCAACTCACCTACTATAAACACCTTGGCCACTTCCTTAAATGATGGCTGATCCTTAAGCAACATAATCCTGATGTGCGCAAGACCTTCGTCCCCCTTCTCGCTCGTTGCGTTCCGTGCTTTTTCACTAAGATTTAGACTATGTATATATATAAATATATATAAATATATATATATATATAAATATATATTCACCTATATATATATCTATATATATGTATATATATAAAGACTATATATGGTATTATAATTATATGGAATTCTGTATTGTGTGATTGTTCGTAATCAATAATGTTTGTTGCTTGTGTGCAGTTTTTGGTTAGTGGCGCACAACTCCTACAATTTTGAAAAACAATTTCGAGCAATATAAATAGAAAATCGACCTCCTCGTGAACTGACTTCGAGTTAATTTTCAGTTTTGTCTCATGGCTGCCTCAGTCTCGGCAGCTTCAATCTGTCAGCTCCACGCCTGCTAGGCCTATTCCAAAGTCCATCGCACACATTGCGCCATTGCCCCAAGCCTCGAATGCTAATCAATTACAAAATGACCCTGCCCAAAAAAGCTCCAACCATTGCTCAACGAAATTTTCAAAATTGTCCACAAACAGCGAAAATCAAGTTCGGTTTCGCCCATTTCTCGGAGCTGTTTCAATACCCTACAATGAAAGTTGTTCCTATTGTATACAGGGACTCGACAATTCATTAGAGATGAAGTAGATACATCATTATCATTATCATTATCATTATCATTATCATTATCATTATCATTATCATTATCATTATCATTATCATTATCATTATCATTATCATTATCATTATCATTATCATTATCATTATCATTATCATTATCATTATCATTATCATTATCATTATCATTATCATTATCATTATCATTATCATTATCATTATCATTATCATTATCATTATCATTATCATTATCATTATCATTATCATTATCATTATCATTATCATTATCATTATCATTATCATTATCATTATCATTATCATTATCATTATCATTATCATTATCATTATCATTATCATTATCATTATCATTATCATTATCATTATCATTATCATTATCATTATCATTATCATTATCATTATCATTATCATTATCATTATCATTATCATTATCATTATCATTATCATTATCATTATCATTATCATTATCATTAGCAGGAGCAGAGCATGAGCATTAGCAGGAGCAGGAGCAGGAGCAGGAGCAGAGCAGGAGCAGAGCAGAGCAGGAGCAGGAGCAGACATAGCAGAGCAGGGTCATAGCATGAGCAGAGCAGACAGTAGCAGGAGCAGGAGCAGGAGCATGATCAGGAGCAGAGCAGATCAGGAGCAGGAGCAGTGATCAGGAGCAGTAGCAGGAGCAGATGCAGTAGCATGAGCAGAGCAGGAGCAGGAGCAGGAGCAGGACAGAGCAGGAGCAGGACAGGAGCAGAGCAGTGAGCAGATGCAGAGCAGAGCAGATCAGTGAGCAGGAGCATTACAGGAGCAAGCAGAGCAGGAGCATGATCATTAGTAATTATTATGCAATATCATTATCATATCATTATCATACATTACATTATCATTATCATATCATTATCATTATCATTATCATTATCATTATCATTATCATTATCATTATCATTATCATTATCATTATCATTATCATTATCATTATCATTATCATTATCATTATCATTATCATTATCATTATCAATTTCATTATCAATTTCATTGTCATTGTAATCATAGTTACCTAATACCTAAGTTATTTTGAGTCTAAGTAGCATTTTGCTAGGGTATTCCAAATGCCACAGACCAAAGCTTACCGTCCACCTCTTCAGTTTTACCTATTTTTTATTTTTGCTACGCATACATGTGCCGGTATTTTTATGACTGGTTGCCCGATTCCACAGCTGGACCAAGTTCGTTTGCATACAGTCCAAATTCATGAGCATGTTCCGAAATACCTATGGCTATAGCAGATGACAATGGCATGATGTGTGTGAGAATGATGATGGCTGCGATGACAGCATGTGTGCCTAAGCGCTGCATATAAAGTGCAAACTGTTACGCGTGCCCTGGCTCAGGTGGTGGTTGACAAAATGACGGTTTAGCGAGTGGGTGAATTAATTAGTTGCTGTATTGCTCGGTTGTGCCTTCGGCCCAACGGTTGTCCATGGAACACAGTCAGCTGCTGCGATTCAAACACGCACATACCTAATATGATTACTCAATAATTGTCATGCTGTTTGCTACACACACAGACTCTCTTCTATGCGATTGTCATGCAGCCAGTCATAGCGTCGAGTTGCGTGATTTACATTATACAGCCATAAAGCATCGATGAGTTGAAAATAATCACGCATAATGTAATAATAGCTGAAAACATTTTCATATTGAACAGTTATAAAGCGGAGTTCTAATTTGGGAAGGCTTATACATCTTTACGAACTTCAAATTCTCCAAAAAGCTTATGTCTACAACTGTTATACATAATTGTAATATACAACTGTTATACACAAGTCATACACATAATTATTATACACAAAATTGTTTTTAACTGTTATACAAAACTATTATACAGAAGTCGTACACATAAATATTATATACAACTGTTATATACAACTGTTTTACATAACTGTTATACATGGTTGTTATACTCAATAGTGTCTGCTATACAAATATGTTATGCATAACTGTGATATATAATTGTCTTATTTTACTGTTAAACATAGCTGTTCTACATAATTGTTATACGAAATGTCCGAGTCAGCTGTTAACTGTATGCCTTCAAATTAAAATCAACAAAAAGTGTATAAAAATGTTATACTAACTTTAATCCTTATTTTATTCACATTCGTAGAGCAACTATTCTTCGACGTTGCTAGCCAATCTCCGCACAGAGAAAAAAAGAAGAAAAAATCTATTTGAAATTATTGCTGTCGCAGGCAGCATCATCAGCAGCGTAGGAGCCACCAGCGGCCGACGCGTCGACGGCTGAAAGACCATCCACTTCGTTATATGCAATTACCCATATGCAGTGATTGTCCACTTTGCCGCACTCGAACATTCATATGAACCCACACAAGCACACACAGACACATTTTGACAAGTGCCAGCAATGGTTATCGAACCGCATAGCCAACAACAGCCGCCCAATAAACAGCAAAATAAAATCCCAGTCCAATCCATATTCAAACGGTCTGTCGCTCCATCTATGGGCGGGCAGCAGTACTTGTTGTACGTTGCTCGGGCCATGAACAGGCAGCTTTTATGCTTTGGCCATATGCATGGCATGCAAATCGATTGATGTTGATTAGCATAAATTGTCTGGACCGCATTGTGCAATGAATAATTTTGGTGTGCGCCGACACACACTCACACACACAGGCAGACACACACACACACACACACAAACTGTGTGCACTCTATTGTTGGTACTTTCAGCCCTAATGCAATTTTGTTTTGGTTAATTTGATAGGCGTTGTCAGTGGCAAGTTGCAACGTTGACACTTTGACAATGCGCCCGTTACGAACATGACAGCTCCGGCCGTAGCCAATAGATAAATGCCATTAGTTGAGTATGCCTAAGCACGTGTTGCGTGACCAAACCAACTGTTATACGGCAACAAAGTGCTTCAATAATATGGGGAAAAAAGACAAGGAAGCTTAAACTTTTTCAATTAATTATTTGAGTGATTCAATTATGTATTTCCTATAAATAATAGCTATATAATAATAGACTAGCTTGATATACAATATAATGAATATGATTTTTTATAACAGAATTGATACATAATGTTATGCATATAAGAACGGAGCTAATAAATTTGAATTTGTATAACAGTATATATACTGGTATAATAAATATACAAGGTTTTTTGTATTGGTGAGTCATTTAGAGTAACTGTTATAAAAGTAAACTGTTATACAAATTCATATTTATTAACATAGCTGTTATAAATATATTGGTGAGTTATAATATGCAACTATTATACAAGTAATAAAAACTGTTATATGCAAAAACTGTTATACAAATTCACATTTACTTACATAGTTGCTATAAATATACCTTGGATTGATGAGTTTTATGTAGTAACTGTTATACAATATGTACTAGTCGTCAGCTACTGTTATACTATACTTAATATGCTTAGAGGCATAAGCGAAGGTATTGACTGACATAGATGCAGCTCAACTATTGATTGATATCAAAATGAATCAACGATATAAGAGATTGATTAATCGCACTTGATATAAGATTAATGCAATGGACGAACTTGAGCACTCTTTAAACGCCATAAAAATTATTATCATTAGAGCGAATTTAGAGTGTATCACATTTGTTATACAAACTGTTGCAAACTGTTATACGAATGTCTTGGAAATTGCGTATATGTGTATGTCTATTGCCTTAGGCATCTTTCGGCAGTATAACTTTTCCAATAACTTGCGGCCTAATACAATCCAATAAAACACACACACAGACGGACACACACGCAGCCAGAATCTTATCAAACTGACATCATTTTCATTATGTTTCGTACTTGCACAGCTTAGACTAATGTATGCCAGGCGTTGGTGGTGGTGTTGATGGTGGTGTCAGTGTTGTTAGTGGTGCTGGCTCCCGTTGTGCGGCAAATGTTATGCAATGCCAAATGGAATCTCTGTTTGGCGCTGGGCACACGCGATACGCATTACACACATATGTGGCGTGTGCTAATCTGGCCGCCAATAACTGCAAATTAGATTAGTAACGCCTACAGGGTGTGCCGCCAACGACGGCAACAATAGCTGACCATTTGAGTAAAGCACGCAACTTTCTCGATTTCAGTTTTTTTCTATTTTCATCGCGTGCTGCGTTTATAAATCTGCGCCTGATGCGAAACTTGTGGAGCCGGAGAAACAAATCGACACTCAAACTGCAATCCCTCGATGGCCATAGACAAGTCCATTCAATGGAACAGCAATAACAACAACAACAACAACAACAAAAACAGCAGCAGGGCAACTTATGATGAAAACTTTTTGCTTTGCTTTAAGCTGGCAGGGATAATGCGGGAATCATTATTATGCGTTAGCCTTTGCCAGCTTCACTTTCAGCCCGCCAGAGGCGTCTGCTGTGCTCGCTTGAAGGGGCCGAAGGCAGCAGATAATGTTACCTAAGTACATATTGTTTTCTGTTGACATGCTGTATGAATAAGCTCAAGGCGAACGTTTTCATTTAATATATCGATTAACAGGGCTCTACTAGGGAGAATTTGACGACAAGGGACGGAAGCATACATAGAACTAGCTCGAAGATTTTCGTCCAGTCGTCCCTAAATTTGTAGGCGAAATCAATTACTAATGATGAAAAGCAAGTGACTGAAGATTTTCCGGCTTTTCTCTTTGAATTGCAATGAGAAGGTCGTTAAGCTATCTTCTCATTGAAAAGCAAGTGACTGAAGATTTTTCGACTTTTCTCCTTGAATTGCAATGAGAAGATCGTTAAGCTATCTTCTCATTGCAATTCAAAGAGAAAAGCCGGAAAATCTTCAGTCACTTGCTTTTCTTTATTAGTAATTTATCGATCGATCCCTTAAATTTCTTTCTCGAATTTACTGAAATCTAACAGCTGTGCTGACTCCAGAGCAAACAGAAATGCGAATTGGCACTATGAAACACTTTTTGGCAACTGATATGCATCAGTTCATTTGCTTTGAACTTAGCTCGCTTTGTGCTGTTTCAGCTTCGGCATGGATCAAGTTACAACAGGTAAAAGCAAAACTTTTATTCAACAGAACTTGGATATTGATATATCTAAAAACAAGTTATTTCACTAAAGTCAAAAATGGACGGTAAGAAGCAGGGAGAGGGAGAGAGGCTATGACAGTCAGTTGGCCAGGTAGACGCATGTCTGAATGCTGGCTGTTGACTTTCACATAAATTTATTCAATGCTTTGCTCTAGCCGTGAAAAAAGAGAATTTGTAACAGCAGCCGAATGTCACTGTGTCCGGAAAGTGCTTTCATAATTTTCAATTTCACTTTCAATTGCTATCGAACGTCCCCCGATTCGTGAATTATTGCTACCCAGCGCCACTGTCTGGCGCTTTCGGCGGGGGCGGAGCATTAGAAAGCTGACGCCAGTGCGACGCCCTTGTATTCCATGGGCAAAGGCAGTTACTGACCAGGCACTTACACGCTTCACTGGCAGCTGCCTTGGGAATGGGCGTCGGGAGACGTAAAGACTTAAGCGTGAACGTAAAATGAATTATATGCATTGCGTATATCATAGGCGAGAAGGTGAAGAGGGCGATAGAGAGTGGGGTAGAGAGAGGGGGACATCTAGGTAGACATAGGGTGTTCGGCTAGCTGGTAAAAGTTTTGGTTAATTGCGTGGGCGTGAGCGTGGGCGTGTGTGTGTATGGGTTAGTTTTTGTGGCTGCGTAGAAAACTTTCCACGAGTCGAGAGCTGATTTTAATTGTTACTCGACAAATTTTCGGGGGCTTTGCTTAATCACTTGCGCCAGATTAGTTTAACTTGCAACAGGCTGGGAGGCAGCGTTGCTTGGGCTCCCCAGTTGTCAGTCATAATTAAAGCGAAAGCGAAAACGAGAGCGAGAGCCATAGCGAGAGCTACGCAATGCGCTCAGCCAAATAATATCAATTGCAAATGGAAATGAAAATGGAAATGGAAATGGATACAAAACTTTTCGGCCTGTCAGCAATGCGTGAAAGCTGCGCCCAAAAAACTTCCTAATCAACAGCGACAGCTGCAAAAGGGCCACGAACTGGACCCACCATGGCAGCATATAGATACAGTGTCGAGAAAGGATTCGGAAATACATTGAAACAGGACAAATTTGTTTGCAATCTACAATATAAAAATATAAATATAAATATATATATACAGATATAAAAATATCTATAAAAGATTCTAGATGGCAGATGAGCTAAGGCAGGCGGCTTTGGCCTGCTAATTGCAGCTCGAAAGCTGAAAGTGAGGCGTAAATGCCAGGCTGCACCACATAACACCACACTGCACCACACACACACGCAGAGGCACGCAGCTTGATTGTGTATCTGTTAGTTAAATGCGCCGGCACTCAAACTGATTTCAATCAGGATGCGGTTATTGTGTTACGCGACAACCAATGGAAATTTGCAGATAGCTAAATTTCCTCTGACACGTGCCAGACACAACAACAATTACAACAACAACAACAACAACAATAGCAACAACTGCCAACAACTACGACCATAACAATGATGTTGCCCAGTTTGCTCAGTCCACAAGTCAACGCAGAGCTCACTGCTGCTGCTGCTGCTGCTGCTGCTGCTGCTCTCTACAAACCGAAACCCGCCCCTCGCCCCCTACACCACTCACTCCCTTTCTATTCATAGCTGTATCTGTGCATCTGCATCTGTTGTATCTGTCGCGCCCTCGCTACTTGCTTTATGCAAATTTCCGAGACGCAGATTCTTTGTCGTTTCAATTCGTGAAGTTGCCCGCATTTCACATTTTATTGCACAGCCAAAAAGCGATTTGCCCTCGTATCGTGGCTATAGCGCGCGACTTTAACTGCCAATCGATAAACCAGCCTCAGCCTGACCGCTTGCTCCATCTTTGTTTCATCTGCGAGTCTAGTCGTGTCTCTCTCTTCTGCTCTTGCAGCCTGTCCGAAGATGTTGCTGAAATGGCAGCCTTCTCTTTTGGGTTAGAGGCACTTAGTGTGTTCAGCATCCGCTTCAATATAATCACAATTCTCAAATGCTTGGCGTTCGGCTTTAGACTCACCCTCAAGTTGTCTACGTTTCACATTGCGAAATCGACATATTTTCGCTGCTCTTAAAGCCTTCCATAAAGAGCCGAGTGAAGAAATCGTTTAACATTAATTTGGCTTTACTTTGTGTGCTGAAAATGTGTATACTAGATCTAGGATTACAGAGGAAATATTAGTTCGTCTGTCCTTCATTCCGTTCGTCTGTACGTCTTTTCATCTGACCGTCCATCCTTCCGTCCTCCCTTCCGTCACCCCATCCGTCCTCCCTTCCGTCCTCCCTTCCGTCCTCCCTTCAATCCTTCCTTCCGTTCGTTTGGAGCTAGAATAAGCTAGTTTCTTAGCAAGATCATTGCAGACCCTTTCAACTGAGGGAACGGAAACAGAGTGTAGTCATATTAAAATAATGCTTTAGCCCCTCGAACTTGCACACATTTCCGTCCCTGCTGCCGTCCTTCCGTCCGTCCTTCCGTCCTTCCGTCCGTTTGAAGCTTGAATAAGCAAGCTTATTAGTAAGATCATTGTAGACCTTCTCAACTGAGGAACTTGCTCACGTTTCCGTGCTTCGTGCCGTCCTTCCGTAAGTCCTTCCTTCCGCCCATCCGTCCTTCCGTCCGTTTGAAGATTGAATAAGCAAGTTTCTTAGTAAGATCTTTGTAAACCTTCTGATGAAGTGGAAACAGAGTGAAGTCAGATCAAAGTGATGCTTTACCTCCTCGAACTCGTTCACATTTCTGTTCAGGTGAATGTAAAACGGAATTGGATTTTCATAAAGCCTACTGTCTGACTTCAGAGTGTGAGCTACGCTTGAGTGAAGTTCCTAGCTTAGACAGCTCATCTAGTTATCCTCAATGCATGCTTTCTACTGGAAGGCTGTCAGAGAGCTGAATTAACTCATATATAAAGTATTATAAATAGTATTGCCAGACCTTTGCTCCGAATGTTGAAATTCGTTTGCTTCCGTGGACATCGCAATGAGGCAGAATGGCCCGAATCAGGCGCCGCGACGTAAACTCATACCGAATCTGCTTAGCAGCATACTGAGAGTAGTAGCCGAATCGGATCGCCCGCTGACACAGCACGAAATCGTAGAGGCCGTATCGAAGTGTTTGGATCGGTCCGATGAGGAGCTGAAGCGGCAAGTAACTGTCAATCTGCATGATGCCATCATCTATGGGAATTTGCGTGTTAGTAACTTTCGCTATTCAGCTGTGCCAACCCGCTTGGAGCGAAATGAGCCGCTGCAGCAAAGCCTCACTACATCCAGGTACGCTTCTCCACAGAATGACAGAAATCGCAACGACGCTGTTGTCAACCAACCGACAGGTAAACAGAAAAATGCCGAGTCGGGAGGTACACAATGATAAGCTCGAGTGTCAGACGTCCCTCAAAATTTACAAATTCGCATTGTGATCAAAAAAGTTGTGGAATTAATTTGAATAAAAAATGATGTGCAGTGAAGGAATAGACAAGCTGAGCTAGTTCATCGGGTGAATGTCCGAGGGATCTCCTTTGGGAAATATGGGAGATCGAAGAGACTGAAAATGAATGGAAATGATCATTTGAACTGAGTAAGTATAGTGTCCGAGTGATCTGTTGTGAGATATCGCCTAGGCTCAGCCCAGTCCATGAACGCAACGCGCTCTAAATAAAATCCGTACTCGATCGAACTTAAATTTTTTTTTATTTTACACGAAGGGTTTGCCAATTGAAATTGATTAAAAATAATAACTTAAATTTCAGAGGAATACCCAAATGTCTCTCGGCAGCAGCCCAGCGATTGGTGTATGTATATATATATATATATATATATATATATATATATATATTTTTGTGTATATATGGATATATATATATATGTATTTGTGGAACAATTTGGCATTTCGTTAGATTCATGGCGTGTAGAGGAAGTGGGGGTGTAAATTGGTGGGGGTTGTTGGGGAATGGGGGTTGTGGGGGATGTGGTGTTGTATGTGCAAATAACGCGGGAACAAAAACATCAACGATACGAACTACACTCCAAATCCCTGGCAACGGCCAAGATTGTTACGAGTGAAGCGAGCAAAGGTCGAATTCTAACGTATGCGCCACGATAGCGGCTCCTTCTCTAGCTCCTTGGCACGCTTGGCTGCCTCCTGGTTGCGTTTCATAATCTCCTTTTGCTCCTGCTCCGACAGCAGCGTATAATAATTGCCATCCTTGCGCAAATAGCCATTAGCAACGGCGCCATGCAATGTATGGGGTATATGACGTTTAAGCTCAACCGGCAAGCGCTGCAGCCGCATCGATAGCATGCCAATCATTTCCGGATAGCTAACAGAACGATTTAGCTCTCGCATCAGTTTGAGCACCGTTTGAAATAGATCCGGCAGCTGCTGGCGTCTACTATTGCTCCGCTCAGAATGGCTACGTGAATGCGAATGTGCTTGTGTGTGTAGCTGCGGCTGCGAATGGCTAGGTATCAAAGGTATGGTCGTGCGCCGGCCCGTACCCATAGCCATAGTCATGCCCAGACCCGTCACTGTAAGCGTTCTCGTAGGACCCGTTGTCGCCGACGCCGTTGATGTTGCTGTTGCTGCTGCTGTTGCTGTTGCTGTTGCAGTTGCAGTTACTGTTGCAGTTGCTGTTGCAGTTGCTGTTGCTGCTAGACCACCACCAGCAGCTCTGGCGCTAGCTGGCGTAAAGCTGGGTGCGCTTACATTTAGCTGATGTGATCTCGATGGTTGCAGATCGAAAAGCTGTTGCTGGTGTACGAGATGTTGCTGCTGCTGCTGCTGCTGCTGGGCCAGCTGGTGATGATGTGGCAGCTGCTGCTGCTGCTGCTGCTGCGGCTGCGCATCCCAGCTGTTCCACGAGCGCACATTATAAATGTTAGCTGCATGATTAAGATTTGCATGCGGCCCCGACTGATACTCGGAGCAGTGTCTATAGAAGATCGGCAAATTGCTGCCAAGGTGATTGCTGCCAGTGCTAGTTGTTGAATTGCTGTTAATGCGCGCATTCATATTGGCATTGGCATTGCCATTGCTGCTATTGCTGCTGACAGCCAGCGAATCGCCGTGTCCGTAGCCCTGTCCCAAACCCTGTCCCAGTCCCTGTCCCTGACTCTGTAACTGGCACTGCGAATGTCCCTGACCCTGTCCCTGACCCTGACCCTGACCCTGTCCCTGTCCCTGTCCCTGTCCCTGTCCCTGTCCGTGACCCTGTGACTGTCCACTTGTGTAATTGTGTTGGCGATTGTGGCCGTGTTGGCTGGTGGCTGAGCTGCTCATGCTCTGGACGCTGTTGCGCTCTATATGACCCGACGCCATTTGTATGCCGCCGCCAGACTTGCGGCAGTGATGAAACTTCTTATTACTGTTGTTGTTGCTCTTGTCTCTGCTGTGGCTGTTGCTACTGCTGCTGTAGTTATTGTTGCAGTTGTTGCAGCTCTTGCTACTGTCGCGGGAGCTGCTGCGATTCCGTGCAGGCTTGATCCGTATCTACTGCTATGCATAAAAATATCCTGATGTTGCTGTTGCTGCTGCTGCTGCTGCTGCTGCTGCTGCTGTTGCTGTTGCTGTTGCTGATGTTGATGCTGATTGGCGTTTGCCGCCTGCTGATTTGTCTTCTGCTGGGCCGTATCACCTGAATTTAAATACAGATGCTCCATATTAGTTATCGATTAGATCGAGTTGTCTCTATCTCCCTCTCCCTCACTCTCTATCTCTCTAGCTATAGATAGACATGTGTATATTAGCGCGCATAGATAGGGTAGTCGGGTTCTGTCTCTCTACCTCTCGCAGGCGATCTGATTTGCTGTTACATCTCTAATGTCTGCAGAAGACAAATCAGCTTCGCATGAGAGCTTGAGTAGATCAATTACTAAAACAATAGCTCAGTGGGCTAAGGCCAACAATACAACAACTGTCAGCTGTGTAGATCTGCTTGAAGTGACACCGACTGGGCAGAAAGGTAAAAGAGTATACACCTACTCTCCTAGAGTCCACTAATTTGCCTGCACTAATAGCTCATCAAACTGGATTGACCTAAGACGATCTATGCCAAAGAGGAGTCCCTAGTCCCTGCTTCATGTAATTGCCGAGGGAAGAGCCAAAACTCAAATTGATATGATTATTTGATTACATTCTCTGTGTGTGGAACTGTGTAGCTAGGATCGACGATCTAATCGACTTCAAACATACCGTTGTATTCTTCGTTTATGTAAAAATTCTTAATGTAGATCTTCCGGTTACAATCTATGTATAAGTCATCATTTAAATCAACGTGAACCACTTCTTAACAGTCGTGCCAAAGTTGTACCTTCGATCAGTTTAAGTAAAAAGTCCTCTCTGTGTAGATTTAGGGGGTTACTCAAATATCTAAAAACTAAAACCAAATAAGTTTATTCTGAAAAATTTTTTCGAAACTGCTTTTCTACCGAGAATCCATAAAAACTAACAATTGACATCGATTGAGTGAACAGTCCTCGGCTAAGCGACACCAAGTTGTTGTGATTAAGTCGTATTTGTTAGGGCTGGGGTTGGGCTTCACTTCAGTGGTGTTTTCGAACCCATCGAGGAACACTAACTCAGGGCCAAGTCTGCAGACAGATCAGTGCCTGAATGGATCAGTAAATCAACTTTCATTGGATAGATCACTGGGTGCTTAATAAGCCAAGTAGTAAGAGAAATGGATTGCATTGAATCTCGCTTAGAGCTAAGGCCTTGACTGACGACAACATCAACTGGCAACAAGGCCAAGAGTAGTTGGTATCTGTCATCGTATGAGGCTAATGATTTTTAACAGACTTAGTTGATGATGGGAGCAAGCTGCCCAGGACCAAATAATCTTCTTGGTATAAGCAGATAATTGCTTATTAAGCCAAGTTGAAATCGATGCCAAATAGATGATATCAAAGTCTGTAGGTTAAGGGACTCTAGCTTGTTAGCTTCAATTCACTTAGCTCAACAAAAAAAGCTGCTATGCGGACGTTGGGGTATCATAAATCTGTTTCTTTACTGGCCTAAAGCCTGAAGCCGACTCAGACCCAAATCCGTTTATGATATAATGTAAAACAATAATGCCAACAACCAGACGATGGCTAGAGTCAGAAAGTTATGCCCCAAATAAATAAAAATGTTTCAAAGAAACCCTACCCGAGGCGGGTTCGCGATGAGGTGCGAAAAATCAGTTGAATTGAAATTGCGTGACTTATGGCTTGGCAGTTGAGCCCGAGGGCTAGTTGGGTCGCTCGACTGCACAGACCCTGCGAAGGGTTGTTGCTTGTGCGAGTTGTGCTATGCTTTGCTATGCGGAATAAGTGAAATTCCGGCAAAGTGTGGGAAATGCGCTTAGCGCACTCCAAATTCACAGATTGTTGTGACTGAAGGGGAAGGGGAAGGGGGTTCCAGAAAGTATTTCCCTGCCATCGTACTTTGGCTCCTTCAAGCGAGCTGCTTATATATGAAATGGAGCTCATAACACTATATCTATGTAGCTAGTATCATAAAAGATATTATAATCTATCTCTCTCCCTCCTTCTCTCTCTCGCTACTTGTCCTTGATAGCTTAGTAGTCCTCCTCCAACACTCTTACTTCTAAACAACAAAACAGTGACGAAACTCATTATCAGTAAAATCTGACCAGATGATGTCTACCTATACACACACGCACACACACACAGTCTAAACAGCTAGTGATGTGTGTGTAATGTGCACAGAGTGCGAAGAGGTTAAATGCTAGTGAGAGGCTGCGCAGAGGGCGAGGCAGGCGCAGACAGAAGAGGACTAGGCGGCAAGTCCAGGGACAAGTCCTGCGGCTGGCACACGGACACATGCATAAGCGTGACTTAACCTCAAATGCAGTGACTTCCGTTGCAGCAGCAGCAGCGGCAGCAGATGAGTTGATGCGACTCGAGCTCAGATTGCAGCAGCGTCAAACAATGCATCAACTGCAACTGTTTAAGTGAGTGTGTGTGTGCGTGTGTGTGTGTGTGTGTGTGTGTGTGTGTGCGTGTGTGCGTGTGTGCGTGTTTGTGTGTGTTGCTTTAGACCACATATATCCTGTTTGGAAGCCCCTTAATAGCAGTTGCTATTGCGACAATCACTATGCATGCCACGCCCATTTAACAAATGACGCCAACAATAACAAGACACACACACACACACATGCAGACGCAGCTCAAGCGCGTGTGTGTGTGTATTTTGCGTATGCATTAAGTGGATTTGCGGCTGGCGCCTAAAGCCGACACCAAATCAAATACAAAACCAACTGCTCGCCTGCCACAGCCCCTTCTGGCTGCTCTCGCCTGCTGCTAGAAGGTATGGGGAATGGGGCGCAAGTGTGGCCGGGGCGTGGCAGCTCAGCCAGTCGACAACATATGCTCTGACCACAAGCTTAAGCCATTCCGATGCGGCCTGCCCAAGACGCCTCACACACGCACTCAGCCATTGAACGAGTCAAATAGCAGTTGCAAGTCGTCAAGTTGCAAGTTGTATTTTAATTAGTTTGTTTTGTTGCTCGAGCAATCGAATACTGCAGACACTGCATCACCTGCTGAGCCGGGCTCAAGGCAACGAATAAATGGCCCAGTAACTGGAGATGCCTTCATTATGTCAGGTGCAGGCAAGCATCTTCATATGCGAGAAGGGAGCAAGAAATAGAGAGAAAGGCGACGTGAGAGAGAGACAAGTTGCTATAGAATTCTATATCATATGAATACAGTGAGAAAAAGAGAGAGAAGAAGTGGAAGCGAAAGAGAGAGCGGGAGAGAACGAGACAAAGTATTTGGGCGACAGGAAGCAAAGTCTAGATGGCTAAGAGAATGAGAGAGAGAGAGAAAGGCAGCTCCCAAATACTTTGTCTAATATCAAATCTATATAGAAAGATATAGCAATAGGGCGAGTGCTATAAACTGTCCTAATTATTCGAAAACTTGATTCACTGCTGAGTAATCTAAGTGTAACGAAATAGATGCCAACCACTTGCTTTAAAAGGCATCAGATGCAGTCACAAAGAGAGAGAGAGAGAGACGAAGAGAGAAAGAGAGAGAGAAACACTTAGCAATCTGTAAGACATTTGCACTTCAGTAAGAAGCTTTTTTGATGATTGTTTAGCAAACTGAAGTTGCGCTTGAGTGCGGCTCTCAGTTCACTTTTCTAGCACAATCGTATTAGTAAGCTCCACTATTGATAAGTCCTGTTCTGTTGAGTAGCAGGCGCTCTTCAGATGATTAAAGAGTGGTCATGGAGTGCAGTTGTTAAAGGAAACTTTATGCGAATGCTAAATATCAGGCCATCTCTCTCTCTCTCTCACTCTCTCTCTCTGTCTCACACTCTTTTCTTCAAATAGTCAACTATGGGGCGAGTTGTTATTGTTGTTGCTGCTGCTTCTGTTGCAAATATCTAGAGCTCATCATGATTGTTTTGTAATTGGAATGCGACAATGCGGCGCAAACAGCAGCAGCAGCAGGAAATGGAGGCGGCTGATATAATGCAAGCAGGGTAAACACAGTTCAGCCAACCAGGCCACCCAGACCATTCGACCCAACTGGCAGGACAAGTGAATGCCAGCGCGGGCTAACAATTTGCTTCAATTATAAAAAGCGTCGCGACAAAGTGGCGCCACCAAGCGGCGGGCGACGGCGGCGAATGCATTGGGGCATGAGGCGAGGCTTGGGCGAAGGCCACATTGATGCTGTTGCTCCAACTCCAGCTAGAGCTTCTCCTGCTGCCTCTGGTAATCACCATGAAGCACAGAGTCAACAACTGTGCGAGCGATGACGCGATGCCCGCGACGACTGCGACGGCAACGGCGACGGCAGCGGCGACGTCGACAGAGACTGCGACAGTGGCTGGCGTCAGCCAGGTCCCATCTTTGTCTCGTTGCGGCTGGGAATTGGTTATAGCGTCGAGGGGGGCGTTGGCTGTCAGGCATCCCCATCGCCATCGCCATCGCCATCGCCTTCGCTTTGGCTTTTATGCGGTGCATTTCTATTTGTATTACATATTTCGAATTGAATTTTAATTACGTTCCTAACGCACTTCCAAGATTCACAACTTTTTCCCTCGCTTTTGTTCCTATAAGTCTAAATATATATATACATATATATATATATATATATATATGTAATGTTCTTAACTGTAATTGTTTAGATGTAAGCAATTAGAAGATGTGATTAACAGTAGATAATGAGAGCGAGACAGGCAGGGGGAAGGTGGGAGAGGTAAGCAGAGGAAGGAAACGAGTCGGAGAGAGAGCGATAGATCAGCTAACAGAGAAGCAAGAGAAGTAGAGATATAACAAGAAAAAGAGAGAGGAAGACGGAGAGAAGAGATAAAAAGAAAGTTAATAAGAGATAAAGAGAGTCATTTAGAGTGAGAGAGAGATAACAAGAGAGTGTCAGACGAAGAGCAACAGAGACAGACGGAGAAAAAAGAAGAGATTGAGTGCGAATATGAGAAAGCAAGGCGGAGATAAATAGAGATAGAGCGAGAAAGACAGGGAGAAAGAGACAGCAACAAAGAAAGAAAGAAAAAACACAGACAGCGAAAGATCAAGCGAAAGAGACAGAGAAATCAGATCCCACATCCGAGATCTGGGGTCAGAGAGATCAAGAGAAATGGGATTTTGGCTTTAAACCAAGCTAACTTTAATTTAGTATTGATGTTCGATAAGTTGATTATAATTATACTCTCACTCTCTCTCTCACTCTAGCTAGATATACCTTTCTCACTCCTTCGCTTTCAGCAAATGCTTTGAACTTGTTTACTGTGTTAACAGCAATGCAGAAAATGAAATCGCAGCAACTAAACAATTATCCTGGGCAAGTGTCGAAGCTCACGCTTCGTGCTTAAGCTGTCGCCGGAGTCCAAGTGCCGGAGCGGGTGTGTGTGCGAGTGGGGGGATTCGCACTTGGACGTGGACGTGCCAACACATGGCCGTTGCGGACTGCCCTAATCACACGCTCTCGCATAAATACTCAACAGCGATGATTTACTGTACTCATGTGATTCATAAATATCACTCATCAGCATGGAACAATGTAGACCGAAGGGACTTACCTCTTTTACCCCCCCTCTCTCTCTCTCTCTCTCTCTCTCTCTCTCTCTCTCTCATGTATGTCTCTGTAAATGTGTGTGAAGAGGGGGCTTAAAGCATATGGTAGCTTGGGTTGTCCGGGTCTGGGCGTCCATAGCCTTAGCTATCCCTGGCTGCAGTTCTTGTTGCGCTCAGTCGGGTCGTTAAGCCTGCAGCTAAAGCAGAGCGCTCGATTTGTTGTCCTTGTCCTTGTCCCTGCTGTTGTTATGGTTGAAAACTATTGTCATCTTTGCCCATAAGCACAAAAAGCAGCAACAAAATCAGCAACACAGCAACCAGTTAGCAGGACATGGCAATCCCCACGTCCTGCCCTTTCACTTTCTCCTTCATGTGT